AAAAATGCACTTCCTCCGGAAGCTCGACTGGTTTGGGGTTTGTAGTAAGCTCATGACACTCTTCTACAGCTCCATGGTAGTCAGTCTTCACTTTGTATTTTATTAGGTTGCAACATAGTCAAAGTGGCCAGTAAGATCATTGCTGTTAAACTGCTGATCTGGCTCTCATTTTCCGTAAGAGAGTAATTTCAGATGCTTGAATCTTTTCACAGTGTCCTCCAGGGGTGATTCTAGGATCAGACCATTACGGGTGCTCAGCCCCCAATGAGAGTGTAGCATGCATACCTTGCAAAAGTGTTCACTAATCGGTAGTGATTATAAGTATAAGTAGGCCTACTAGAGAGGAGCATGTGCAGAGCAAAGCGAGTGAGTCAAGGGTGTCACTCTGTGTTGAAAAGTGGTGGGGACATAAGGGCTCAGATTTGGGGCATGATGATGCATTTGGGTCAGGAGACATGACGATGCATGAGAACAAGATAAGAAGATTTTTAGTACTATTTAGTCTTAAATGTCTTTTTTTATATAAAGGGAAAACTATATTGCATTGCATGTTTTTTATTGTGCAAATAAACCTTTCTCAAAGCATTTTCATTTGTTAGTTGACATTTCATGGTGCAAGCTATTTTTCAGAACAAATGCTTTCAAAAAGTGATGAGGTCAAGATCAGCCATTTCAAAATGTAGTGGGGTGTAAATGATACCTATGGGGCAGTGGACCGGTTAGGGTCAGACAGCAGTGTGGAGCTGTGTGCTGTTTACTCCCTCAGAGGAGGGAGGGTGTTAAAAGTACTTCCTTATTTGAATGTTCAGTTTTGTGTTTTCAGTTAAATCTTGTTACATGCTTGCTTTCTATATAGTTTTCGTTGCTGATATAGTTAGTTGTTGCTGATGGAGTTTATTTTGGTTGCACAGCAGGGGCAATTTTTAGGGTTAAATTCCATCTAAGCACCCCTAAAAAGTAATACAAAAATGTATTATTATTTAATGAAAAAAAATGTTTTGTCCTCTAATGTTAGATTTTGGAAAAGCAAGAGAAGGGACAACCAATCAGCCTACAGTTTCATATGGCTTTTCTTATATTAATCGGATTTAATGTCCCTAAATACAGCATCGGAACGCCGTTTGTGTGTCTGTCAGTCTGGGCCAAACTAGTACTTTCACTATTGAGCGGGGATACGAGCCCCTCCCAACTTGGACTGATCCTCGTTTTTGCTGAATTCTGATTGGCACAATGATCAGAGGAGTTTACTTTCTATCAGGGGCGAGTTTAATCCAAAACCTTTTGCACCGGTTTGCTACATTTTGGCGGGGCTGAACTCATCCCAGGTTTGTGTGAGAAATCCGACAGAGAAGGTAAATACATTAATCATATAGGCAAGGCAAGTTTATTTGTATAGCACATTTCAACAACAAGGTAATTCAAAGTGCTTTACATAAAACATAAAAGCAACAGGAAAAAAAATAAATAAGTTTTAAAAGTTTTATACTGAAATTATTACTGATAGGTATATAAATATGTATATATATATTTCCGGTCAGGGCCGGGGGGATTCCAGGTGGACCCTTAGGCAAGGTCCTTAATGCTACCAGCCTACCTCAGGCATGAGTGAAACCGCAAATACAAGAGCCATACCAGCTCGGACGTTGCCTGGGTTGACGAGGTCCGCATCAGGTGTTAGGGAACCAGGGCAACCTAATGACAAATGGGCTAGTGGAACAAGAGACTATGGGATATATGGATGCTTCGAAACCCATCATCAACACTGACAAAGAAACAACTCCTAGCTCAGTGTTCTAACATCCGCAAACAGCAACTGCTATCACAACTAGAGATTGATGAGGTACAACAAATATGCTACAGCAAGGGGTAGCCAGGACGACAGGTCAATGTTATCATCATCATCATCCCCACACTCAGAGATTGGGTCCCAAGCCCCAATAACAACAAGCCCTTACGGCACAGAATCACTCAACATAAGGGCGACTGACCTGCGATTGAAGATCATAACCAAGCTGGACTCCCAAATACAATGACCAAGATTGCCAAGGCTAAGTGACAAAGTACCCTCTGAAAGTCTGCTAGAAGATGTGAATGCAGCACTACATACTATCCCTAAAAAATGCCATAACCGAGACCAAAGAGCTGATGTACGCCACAGCAACAGTGATCCTAGAGATGCTTGGCTATAAGATGAACACCACAAGCCACAAAGAGCATTACCCCCCATGGAGAAGAAGGCTAGAGGTCAAGATCAAGGCAACACGAAGAGGAAGAGGTTAGTCAGCTCTTAGAGCTGCAGAAAGGTGCAAGGAAGGGCCTTCCTAAGAAATACAACAAGCTGTCGATACCTGAGGGTCTGGAGACTGCCAAACAAAGACTTACCGCTCTGGCTACCCGCCTAAAGAGATACATGGGAGAAGCAGAAGCCAGGAGAATAAACCGGATCCAAAGTGTACTCTCAGTGGCAGGGTAATAACACAAGATCAGAAGAACAAGAACAAGAACATGTGGGAGAAAGGGGCATCCCATGGAATCCCATCCCATGTGTTCTTAGATCCCGTGGATCTAAGAACAGATCACAGCAATCTCCCAGAACAAGAACCAGTAACCATTACAACGGCAGACATCCAAGAAAGAGTGGCAGGTATGAAGAGCTGGACAGCGTCAGGCCCTGACATGATCCACACCTACTGGCCGAAGAAACTAACTGCACTCCATGAACGCCTGGCAGCACAAATGAACCAAATGCTGATGGATTGGACCCACCCAGAATGGTTAACCCAAGGACGGACAGTCCTCATCATGAAGGACCCCTAGAAGGGAACAATCCCATCCAACTATCAGCCAATAACCTGCCTCTGTACAACATGGAAGCTCCTGTCAGGCATCATAGCGGCTAAGATGAGTAAGCACATGGCTCAATACATGCTCAATACATGAGTGCTTCAGCACCCCTAAAAATGGTCTATAATCGCCCTTGGTGTCCTAAGTGTCCAAGATTAACAGGGTGAATAATTATTTTGTCTATCAGGCCATAAATACTCGTAATGACTCAGCAGAAGAGTTTCCCATAACTATTTGCGAGTGATGCTGTTTTTTAACCAATGAAGGGTGGATTGAATGATAATGGCTAAACATACTCTAGGTTTTATGTTGTCACCTGTTTAATTTAATTTATAATGTATTATGTATAGTCTGTGTGTCTCTGTATGTGTTACTTGGCTGCAATACTAATTTCCCCTCAGAGACAAAGTGGAAATTTTAAAATGGTGCCTGGCAACAAAAGCAAACTACCATCAGATTCTGTTGAAAATAAGTCTGATTTGTGCATGGAAATGCATTTTAACTATTTAAATCAGTGAGAAGAGCACAGAGAAAACAACCCTGACATAAATCTCTCATGTGAAACAACCAAAACTCTTTGAACTTTGTCAGAAAGTAGTGTGTTCATGCATGATCCCATCGTTCATAGTAAGAAGCTGATTGAGAAAACAGGTTTTCTTTAAAGATACAGTATATAACCTTTCGGCATTAAAATGCCTAAAAACGACTACACATATGTAATGTGTTTTCTTGAGTTACATTATCCCCAATGTTTCCAACAATTTTCACACCCAGAAGCTGTCAGAAATGTACTTTTTATCCAGTTTTGAGACACATTTTGATGTTACATTTTTTAGATGTTGGTTGTTTTTAGCTATATATTTTAAAGAGGTCATTTTCTTCTCATTTTCAGGTACAAAATCTTATTTAGGGGTTTTACCAGAACAGGTTTTTTGTCATACTGCACATTGCCGCAGCTCCTCTTTTCACCCTGTGTTAAACACTCCGTTTTAGCTATGCAGCGATGCATCTTGCCTCTACAAGATCTTTGTTGAGAGTTGCACATGCACTAGTTCCTAGTTACTACTAGCCAATCAGAAGCAGAGTAGGGCGGGCCGTGAGAAGCCCGTAAACACTGCTTCGGTTCAGTTAGCTCCCTCCCAATCACACTTTCATTCAAGCTTACATTAAAAGTCTTTTATCATGTACATAAAAAGGGGTTTTCTAGCATGTAAAGAAAGAGGCAAGGCAGCTTTTCCTCTACTGTGCAGGCAAGAGACTGACGGCCACTTCAGGTAGGCTCCGTGCCCCATGATTAACGACAAATGGACACCCACGATGCTCCGAAAGGACGGTCCAACCCTACAGGAAGTAGGGTGGGTGCTTACCTTCCTGCTTCCTGTTTAACCAATACCTGCCATCTACCGACCCCGTCCACTCCTGTCAATTAACACAGAAATGGCTCTCTAACCCCATGCTGCCACATATTATTATTATTATTATTATTATTATTATAAGAAACTTGTTAAAAGACTCAGTCACACCATAAACAACAGTAAATGTTGTTGCTGAATACAAGGAATGTCAATGAGTTACTTTGCTAATGCATTAGTCAACATATAGCTGTCAAATCATTCGCTATAGCTACACAATAACTGTCATAATGTATCTTTCAAAGGAGGTGACCACTCTATGATGGCATATTGTATACAGTCACACAGTCATGCTGAACTTGAATACTGATAATCTGACATCAGACTATCAACAAATGTGTCTGAGAAAAAATGAAAAACTAACTACTATTAAAATAAAACATGGGGAAGCACATTCACTGAAAATCTTTTAAAATTCAGTTAATCCATTTATGTGGCTTCTTTTAGAGCAGGGCAAATACTTGCCTACAATATTTACACATCCAGCAGACGAGCATTTCATTCAAGTTGTGTTTCCGTGTAACATTCACTCTTCTTTTAGCTGTTTGCTCTCCACCAACTCATGAGAAAAATATCTTGCTCTTTAGCTGCTAAATGTTCCGCTTCTGTCTACTATTTGGTGCTGAGGAGTTTACAGTAGAGCTGCCTGCTACTGCTGGAAGAGAGCAGAAAAATGAAATAAAACCAAAACTATTAGCTAAACCAGGCTAAAAAGAGCTGTATGAATGCAAAGTTTGTGATATGTGTCATTACAGCTGTAATTTATTTCCTTTATTAATCTGGAAACACTGATTAAATTATAAATATTTTACGATCTGAAACTACACAACAACATGCCGTCAACAACTCATGGAACGGCATGGAAACAGTTTGACAGAAATGATTTAGTCATAAAAAGAAAAAACAATGCATCATAAACATAAAACAATTTAACTCTAAGCTTTCATCATGTAAAATGACTGTGATGATATTTGACTTTGTGGTGAGATGAAGTTGGTGTGGAAGTTGTCGATCACTGCAGTCTAGTAGCAGCAGGATGTGCTTTTACATTTTCATACTGGACTTCTGCATCACTATTCACCTGTGAAATAAAACATTATGAGATTATGAAAAAAAACTAAAGGGAACAAACAGTTGATGTTTCTACCAGAGAGTAAAAAGTTTCATCTTTCATTTTTTAAATTATAATAGTTATTTTTAAACTCACATTGTTCTCATTATCAAGTGGTTTTGTGTTCCCTGGACAAAAAAATATGACAAATTACCATTACAGTTCTGAATAAATGATTTACATTAATCAGTTCTTTCAAACGATGTTCTGAATTTCCTCACCTCTGTATCTGAAGAAAAGAACTGTGATTACAATCATTAGGATGAGTACTGCAATCCGTAGAGTCAACATGACGTAGCTCAGAGGAGACCAACCTGTGGAAACTTTTGAACCTGGTTTAGAAACAAAAAGTCACTTAATAAATAAGTACATTGTTTAAATTTGGGACAGGCATTTCTTTGTTTTTAGTTGTTCAAATAATCTTCACATCATTAATAAATCAAACACTCTGACACAAAAATGAAAAACATCTGGGATCTGTGTCCGTCACAGGACTGTAATAAGCATGACTGGCTGGCCTACCTGTGCACACTCTGCCTGTGAACTCATTGCTCACCACAACCTGAAGGGAGAGGGTGGGATTCTTTCAGTTGGAATCTTTCAAATACTAGCTGTCTCATGCTAGTTTCTCCAACTCTACCTACCCTGCAGGACTGAATAACAATGATATTACAATTGTTCCTTTTGTGAAAATATTTGATCTCCAACATCTGAAACTTTGAGAAACCAAGAGGCAAAGCTTTGTATCTGGTGGGCTGCATATTATCTTATGTAAATGTGTCTGTTCTGGCTGATCGTCTCTTATCCTACCTGTGAAGAAAGGTGTGTAGTCAGCCTCTATCTCTACATTGTTCTTCTTATCAACAACCTGGCAGGTGTATCTCCTGTTGTGGCCACTCTGACGCTTCACAGTCAAAACAGAAACACAGTTCTTCTGTCTGAGGAGCTTGTATCCGACACCTTCACCAAGCAACACAGTTCCTGTCTCATCTACCCAGCGGATGCTGTTCTGTTGACATGGAGGGAGGTCGCTGTATCTCAACAGAGAGCACTCTAATGTGATGTTACCGTCCCTCTTTGGATCAGCATCTGGTGGAGATGGAGAGACTGGGAGAAAACAAGGGATAACTGTAAACTCAGCATAACTTTAAGACTCTGACAAGTTTCTGTTCATCTTCTGTTGTCTTTCAGTTTCAATGAGTTAAAATACAATAACTTAAAAATATGAAGGAGGACTGTAATGTAAATGTAATTAAGGCCTTTCAGTAGAAATTCAACAAGCCAATTGACTAAATAAAATGATAAAAGGAAAACCTTTATTTATCCGCAAACTAATATGCCAGTCATTGTAAACTGAGGTGGAGATACGTCTTCATGAATGAAGGCGCAGTAGGATGGAGGACTGCCACAGTCAATAATGAAGATGGAAATAAGAAAATGCTCATTAAATAAATAAACATCCTATTAAATGCACCAAGAATACAATAAATGAAGGCATTAATTAAATCATACATTGAGACATAAATTGACATTTCTCTATTTATTTGCTTCTTTATTTATTCACATTTGTATTAATTACCTTATGTATTTGTTTTCCTTCATAATCTTCAACTTTACTTATTATTTTTCAAATGCATTTATTTATACGCATCTGTACGCAGGATAAGCGGTTGGCGATGGATAGATTTAGTCATGCGTTTGTTTAATATTTTTGTCTGTATTATTTTTCCTTTGCATTTTCTACCCCATTTATTTCCTCAGTGGTATTTATTTCTGTATGCAAATGAGGGGGTCTGTGTCTCAAGGGGCCAATGTGGTGAATAGGCCTGAGCTAGATCAACACTGAAAATGTCCTGGAAAGCTCCTGGAAAAAAGATCTCTAGAGAAAAGTGAGAAGCCTGAACCAATAAATTCATCTCTTCCCACCTTAATCACCAAACTGACATATCACCCTGCTCGCTCACTGGCTGGGTTTGGGAGACTCCCAGCAAGTAGACATAGGACAGGAAAAAATGAGTACAGCTGGAATGAGGCTAAGCTTAGAACAGTGCAACGTTTTTGTGCCAAAAAGCAGAATAACCTCTTGATAATCTCAATGAGTTTTCATGGACATGAGACTCACTTGTCAGAACATTGAGCTGTACATGTATATCATTATTAGGGGTCCTCCCCTGCCAGCAGGTGTAGCGACCAGCATCCTCAGCAGTGATGTTGTTAATGACCAGAGAGCATCTGGCGTCCAGACTCAGCCTGGCAGCTCGGGCTGAGGTCTGCTCAACTTTTCCATTCACAACCTCATTGAAAGTCTGAGATAATACTCTTCTGTAAAACCATATAACACTGGAGCATGTTGTGTCAGAGGATGATGTAAGGGCACAGGGCACAATGACATCATGTCCAGGTCTTTTATAGAGAGTGGTTTCTCCAAGGATGCCTGCTGGAAAGAAAAGACATGTCTGGTTAGAAATGACACGTTACACATAAAATCATCTGCATGGAGACTCAACACTTAACATGAGGGTTGTATTTAATTGTATTCTCTAAAAGGAAGCATAAAATATTGTTCAGTTCTGAACTGGGATTTTACATTTGCAAGCAAGGAACATGTCCCCCTCCACCATGTAGTGCTTGTGTTTATAAGAGAGAGTGATTTTCATTTATATCTCAATTAATAATTAGTGAATTGTGGATAACTGAATTTTAAATGATTTTCAGTGAATGTGCTTCCCCATGTTTTATTTCAATAGTAGTTAGTGTTTCATTTTTTCTCAGACAAATTTGTTGATAGTCTGATGTCAGATTATCAGTATTCAAGTTCAGCATGACTGTGTGACTGTATACAATATGCCATAATAGAGTGGTCACCTCCTTTGAAAGATACATTATGACAGTTATTGTGTAGCTATAGCGAATGATTTGACAGCTATATGTTGACTAATGCATTAGCAAAGTAACTCATTGACATTCCTTGTATTCAGCAATTAACTGTTGTTTATGGTGTGAGTCTTTTAACAAGTTTCTTATAATAATAATAATAATAATAAAATCTTTACCTCTACTATTGAAACTACAGCAACAAAAACACACACAGAGTAGATCAGAATAAACAAAAGTTGACCCACATCAAATAAAATCTGCTGAACTTATGTCATTGCCTTTGTTTTGTGTTCACTTGTATTATTTATCTGTATTTTATGTAACTGCATCAAGTTATAATTGTAGCATGACTACATTGATCTAATAAATTTATGAGAATTAATACCAAATTATTAATTTTAATATTCAGAAAATATTAATTCATAAATCTCTCGTGGGGCGCCACCCGAGATTCCATTCGCCCAGGGTCTCGGGATTCCCTGAGTATGGCTAATAATTAGACAATTATTCACTAGTGATCAGTTAGTTAACAATCGCTAAATTATCTTTAATCAGTCAGTCAGTCTCATATCGAAGGGGTAAATTCTCACGGCAGGGACTTGGAGATAGGCAATACACGTGAAAGGGCCCGGCATCAGTGGGAGCAGTGTAATTTAGCTCAAAGCATAAAGCTTAAAAAGAACTTGGTCGTTCTTGAATTAAACTAGTGTGAATTAACGGTCTGATAATTTTTAACAAAACAAAATAAAATAAAATAAAACGCAAGTAAAGTTGCTGGAAACGAGGGAAAAATCTATGTCGCGGCACTTCGCGTGTGTGGCTTGAATACGAACAAAGGGTCTTCGTTGCGCCGGGCCGAACTGCTCAGGGCGTTGCTGGGTCAGGGAGCAGTTGGAGAGAAAAGGAACAAGCCGAGGGCAAAAGAGAGTGAGACAGCGTGTGTTGCTGCCTTTGTCTGTTGGGGCGTGGTTCCCAGAGGGCAGTCCTTTATTCGCCTGAGAGAGGGCTTGTTTCCGCTTTCCAGAGAGACCGTCTTTCTTTAGACATATTAAAAGTTAAAATATCTATTTGCGAGTATTGTAATCAAATATCTTCCCACAATCAAACCTTAATTGTCAAACGGGTATACCGTTCTTAGTTTTAAGTATTTGATAAAAAGACAACAAAAAAACAATTGTCAGTAGTTCAACCTTCAACCTTAAAGTTAGCCTTTCAGAATCACAGATGAGAGGAACTTAATTAGCTTTCTGGATATATTGGCTGTTACGCGTTCTAAGAATATAAGCAAGATACACGAATGGGATCAGATTATGGACAAGATAAATACAGAGTGACATTTATACATTAAATTGCATTTCAGACAATGGCCTGTAATACTTATTTTGTCCACTTGGAAGAGCTCGGGTTACATGACGATAGCTTTGATTCACCCTAAAACAACCTTCAGCTTTAGTTATTTAGTCAATTTAGTTATTTTATTATTAAAGTCAAGCTGGAAAATTACTCTAGTAGTATAGCATGACATTTCTTTATTATCATTTCTAAAGGAAGTGTCAGAAAGTGTTGTGAACAAGTGAAGAAAGCATTGGTTACAACATAGAATGAATAAAGGTCCAGGATCCTTGCTGAAAATTAAAACACTGCAAAATTAACTTGTTTAGATTCTTTTCAACAACAAATAACACCAACATGGTAACATAACTACTCAAATGGAGTGGAGAGACCTAATCAAGCAACTAACAAGGTAATGCTTTGGGTTTTGAGGAGACAGTACTCTTTTGTTTACACAAAGGAGTTCAGGGCTGTCCTGGAGTTCCTCCCAAATTTACATCTGGCTGTGAAAAGGAGAATATCCTTTGATGTGAGGTAATTAAACAAAGAGGAAGGTCAGTTGCCATGGTCACGTGTGTGGGGGGCTGTTCAGTTCAGGAGAAAGCTAATCTCTGGTGCGTGTTTCTTTGTCATTTTAACAGTCAGGCAGCGCGTTATCTGGCTGCAGCATCAGAGGTGGCAAGTTTTATGATCGAACTGCCCAGAAACAGCACTTAGGGAATGCGACCTTTCAACCCCACTCCTTTGGGTCGCTTCAGCTGTCTGTTGAGGGTTGATATCCCAAACCCCCTCCTCCTTCTCTCACAGAGAGAGAGAGATTTGAGTCTCCAAATTATTTGATATAAAATGCACAAATCCACACTGTTTCTACACTACATAATGTAAATGCTTAGTTATTCTGTCACATGTGAAGTTTAAAGAAACCACACAGAGAACAGTGAGAGAACAGACCATTTCATCATTACTTTTCTGTCCTTCTGTGTGTACATCTGTGCACATGTGTCTATACGCATTGAAAAACATAAACCTAAAAATAACTGATTCATAATTGCAATCCTGCTCTTGTCTCACACGTTTATTAGAGGCTACAAAGGTTATCAAAATTTATCAAAGTGGTTTATAAAGCAGGAAATGTGTGGCGTGTTCCTGGTAGCATTTTTTAACACAAACCTTTATCTAATAGTAGCTGATTTAAAAGTTCACTTTTGTGTTAAATTGTGATTAACATTAAAATAAGTAAACAGAGCTTTACCTTCAAACTGAAGCACGAAAATAAGGATTAATTCCAGTAGAGACATTCTGTGTCTATTCCCTGTCGGCAGATGGACGGGTTGTGAGACTTCTCTGCTGCAGGTCTGTATGTGATTGTGCTGTTTCCTCTGTGTCCACTTTCCTCTTTGACCTATTGTTAAAATAACTTGAGAAACAACGCCAACCACCCATCCTGTCTTCAGTTACAGAGAGTCAGATTTGCATCACTTCTATGCACATCCTAAATCGACTGCACGAAACAGGAAGAAGAAATTTGTGTTTCACAAACTGCACTTGACAATTACACACATTCCATTTTAATCCTTTTTTTTTAACTTGATGGTGGTGCGTTTTGGTATCATCCAAAGGAGTTTGTTTAACATATAATTTTAAAATATATAATTAATTTATCACAGTTCATTCCACTGAAATAAAATTAACTTGACAGAGCAATGGAAATGTAATTTACACTCTCTCATTTCGGTGGCGTAATCAAAAGGAAGTGATATTTCTAGTAAGAAATCAAAAAACTGAATAACAAGACTAAGATTCTACAGCCATGCTAGCAGCTCACACTGTACTTTGGCAAAGTGGTGCTTTAGATTTTGTTGATTGACAGTTCACATTATTGTTTAAACGTGGCCCATTTCAGACTGTGATTGTGTGGACTGTCCACGGCTAGCAGGTGACCCGCATGCGCAGAAGAATGATACAATGCTACACGCTTAAATAGGGGTTTTTTGTTTGTAAATTTGCATTTGTGTATGTGATCATTTATTCAGAAACAATTTAAAAATGATTAATAAAAAATGGTCGCAGTGTTGCTTTTCATTACTGAAAACCCCAACAAGGACATTCTGCCAGCACAAGCTGAAACCTGAAAACATATAATCATTTATAAATGGACAGACGTCCTCCTTAAATTGCCAAATTGCCAAATTGCCAATTGTACAATGCCAAAACAAATGTCATGCCATTTCTGTATAAGTCTCACAGAAGGTACAGTTAGGATCAATGTCATTTTTAAACCTCGCCATGCAATGATTCATAGGCTAAAATCTGTGAATAATGTTAAAGGATAGGCTACCTTGTTAATAAGCAGCCTAAGTATTTATGGAGCAACATCCACATTTTTCTCCAGCACAGATCATTGACAAACTGGTTCCAGTAAAAAGTGGCTTATGGTTTATCACTGAAAAGTGGTGGGGACATAAGGGCTCATATTAGGCATGTGCAATACACTTTTAGCTCAGGAGACCTGATGAAACACAATATTAGGTTCATGTGAACAAAACCAGAAGATATTTCAACACTATTATGAAGAAATATTCAAAGCTGAAATATATGAGTGTCCTCCGCCAGAACATTTTGAGCAATAAACACTCGTAAACAATTAGTGTCGAAATGTCTTGAGTTATATAAAGGGAAACACAAAAATCAGGCAACAGGTGACATTTCAAAATATAAAATATAGTTGGAATATAATGCAGTAAGTTTGTTTTTAGCTTAAGTTACTTTTTTTGGACAATGCACATTTGTTTCTTTTATATTTAAATTGCATTGCATGTTTTATTATTGTAGAAAAAAAAACTTCCTCAAAGCAATTTCATTTATTTATTTATGTATGTATCGTTGCAAGCTATTTTTCAGAAAATTTTTAACAAATGCTTTCAAAAAGGGATAGAGACAAAATTAGCTGTTTCAAAAACTGGTGGCCACATATCCCCAGCATCCCCAGTGTAAATGACACCATTGATACTATATCTTGTTGGAGCAAAGCGCGTATGTCCCTATTGTTGTTACATGGACGGGAAGAGAAGCAGACCCTGTGGTGTGTTCCATTTGACATGGGAAGTTGGAATTTCCAAGTTCAAAGTCGGAAATTTCAAAGGGAATGCATCAACTGCATTGTGCAAACTCCTTGCAATGCATGGCAGACAGGAATGCCCGGAAACTTATTTCCTTATTGGACTAATTTATGATACTCGAATAAGACACTCACAAGTTTCTGAACATGTATGTTTTTTTGAAGATGAATTCCTTCATCAAGTCAAACTCTTCAGCAACCTCTCTGGTTTTAACTGCAAAGTTCAGATGGTGTCAGACTGACTACAGCTGTTATCACACATAAATATACTGAAGGGTCTAAAAATATAAATTATATGCAGTATATGTTTCAACAGGAGTAAAATGTGTCCTCTGGATACTTTGATGATCGTTTGTTGCTAGAAAACTCACAACATGGTGCCAACATTTTTTGACGCCTCCATGTGACAGTAACAGCAGCAGGCAGTATACAATAAGGTGTACCTCAGGATACCAGAACTGTGAATTTTTAAATCTGTCACTACCAAATAGTTTGTAATTTTTCCTCACTCCCTTTCTCTTCTCTAAAGAGGCCGCAGAGGATGATAATGTGGCAACTTGTAGTTAGTTCACTCATGCTGAAACTGAATACTGATGATCAACAAATGTATCTGAGAAAAAATAAACTAGTTTAACAGCAGCACTATCATTGAAAATAATTTAATATTCAATTAATTCATTTATGTGGCTTCTTTGAGGCAGAAAAACATTCAAGATGAAAAACACATCGGACATGTTAATAACCCCTTATGGAGCAGAGCAAATAGTTGCCTACAATATTTACACATCCAGCAGATGAGCATCCCACTCGAGCAGTGTTTCCATCCACCTGATCAAGTCCAACATTCACTCTTCTTTAAGCTGTTTTGTTCACCAATTCCTGAGAAAAATATCTGGCTCGTTAGCTGCTAAATGTTCTCTGTCTGCTGTTTGGTGCTGAGCAGGTAGTTTACAATAAAGCTGCCTGCTACTGCTGGAAACAGGGTTGATGAGAGCAAAAGTGCCATAAAACCTAAACTGATTGCTAAATCAGGCTTAAAAAAGCTGTATAAAAGCAAAGTTTGCGATATTTCTTGGTATTTCTTGGCTGTCAACATTTTTACAATACAAGCAGTCAATTGTTCTTTAATTAATCTCATAGGCACTAATTAAATTATTAATATCTTACCATTTGAAACTACTGAACATCTGCTTGTTGTTGCCATGAAAACTGTTTGACAGAAATTCTTTACATGTAAGTCATAAAAAGAACAATCAATGCATCATAAACATAAAACAATTTAACTCAAAGCTTTCATCACTCATGTAAAATGACTGTGATGATATTTGACTTTGTGAGATGAAGTTGGTGTGGAAGTTGTCGATCACTGCAGTCTAGTAGCAGCAGGATGTGCTTTTACATTTTCATACTGGACTTCTGCATCACTATTCACCTGTGAAATAAAACATTATGAGATTATGAAAAAAAACTATTTAAAGGGAACAAACTGTTGATGTTTCTACCAGACAGTAAAAAGTTTCATCTTTCATTTTTAAATTATAATAGTTATTTTTAAACTCACATTGTTCTCATTATCAAGTGGTTTTGTGTTCCCTGGACAAAAAATATGAAAAATTACCATTACAGGTCTGAATATAGGATATACATTTACCAGTTCTATCAAATGATGGTCTGAATTTGCTCACCTCTGTCTCTGAAGACAAGAACTGTGATTCTAATCATTAGGATCAGTACTGCAATTCGCAGAGTCAACATGATGTAACTCAGAGGAGACCAATCTGTGGGATATGTTGAACATGAACATGTCAGTTAATAAATAATTCTCATTTCTAAAGCTTGGATAGGCAATTATTTCTTATATTTGTTGAAATTAGCTTTACGTCATCAATAAATAAAATACTCTGACACATAAATGAAATTTATGTGCCGTCGGGGATTAATGAAGTATTTCTGATTCTGATTCTAATCAGCTGGCCTACCTGCCTGTCGACACACACGCACTCTGCCTGTGCACTCATTGCGCATGAAAATGTTTTTTGGGGGAAGTGCCTTTAAAGAGAAGTGGGTAAGATTTTTTTGTTGGTTACTTTCAAAATCTAGCTGTCTCTTGCTAGTTTCTTTACCTCATCTTTAGTAAATAACAATAGTGTTATTTTCCTTTTGTGACAATACTTGATCTCCAACATTTTGAAACTTTGAGAAACCAAGAGGTGAGAGACTTTTCTGGCAGATTTCCTCTTATCCCACCTGTGAAGACAGATGTGTAGTCAGCCCCAATTTCTACATTGTTATTCTTATCAACAACTTGGCAGGTGTATCTCCTGTTGTGGCCACTCTGACGTTTCACAGTCAGAACAGAAACACAGTCCTTCTGTCCGAGGAACTTATACCCGACATCTTCACCAAGCAGCACAGTTCCTGTCTCATTCACCCAGCGGATGCTGTTTTGTTGACAAGGAGGGAGTTCAATGTATTTCAACAGAGAGCACTCTAATGTGATTTCACCATCCCTCTTTGCATCAGCGTCTGGTGGAGATGAAGAGACTGAGAAAAAACAAGTCATAACGGTTAACTCAGCATCAAAAATATCAGGCAACTCCCTTAGCCTTGTCCACTCTATCTATACTCATTCACTGAGAGGGTCCCTCATGTTAAGGGCTGTCCCAAACCAGTGAGGCATTCAGTTCAGTCTAAAATGTATGCTCATAGACATCTTCCCTTGAATGGAAGGGGTGTCCCCATAATGCCTGGATGAATTATGGCTGTTGCTTTCTCCTTGGGTTTGGGAGACTCGCAGCAAGTAGATAGTGGACAGGAAAAAGGGAGTACAGCTTCGCACAGCGCAACATTTTAGTGCCAAAAGCAGAATTCCCACTCAAGAATCTTAATAAGTTTTCACAGAAATTAGACTCACTTGACAGAACACTGAGATGTGTTCTTACATCCTGATTAGAGTTCCTCCCCTGTCGACAGGTGTAGAGACCAGCATCCTCAGCAGTGATGCTGGTAATAACCAGAGAGCACTTAGTGTCTAGATCCAGCCTGGCAGCTCGGGCTGAGGCCTTAATAACATTTCCATGCAAAATCTCAGAAAAAGTGTGAGACACATCTCTGTTGTAAAGCCATGAAACACTAGAGCATGTTGTGTTAGAGGATGATGCACGGGCACAGGGCAGGATGGCATCATGTCCAGTTATTTTGTAGAGAGTGGTTTCTCCAAAGATGCCTGCTGGAAAGAAAAGAATACATGTTCTGCCTTTGGTGTGAGAGACCCTCAATCCCCCACTGTGACCCATCCACCAATGTGTCCCTGAGCAAGACACTTAACCCCTAGTTGCTCCAGAGACGTGCATGACATGTATAGCAATTGTAAGTCGCTTTGGATAAAAGCGTCAGCTAAATGAATAAATGTAAATGTAGAAATTACACATTATATAAAAAACCACCTGCATAGAGGCTGGATAATTTTTTCTAGGCCGTAATATACAACAGAAGTTTACATTTTGTATATAATCAACACTTATATAACAAAAGACAATCAAAGCACTTACCTTTGAACTGAAACACAAAAATGAGGGTTAATTTGAGTAGAGCCATTCTTCTTCTGTTCTCTGGAAACAGGCGGTTTTCTGTAATGCTTTTTGTCTCTGGTACAGAGACAAAGAGCGTAAACGTTGAGTGTAAACGATGAAGACATTTCCTTTTTGTGGTTGAGTTCCTCAATAAAAACTATTTGTAAAGCACATCAGTCATTACCCAGCCTGTCATAAATATCCAACCAACACGGGAAAGTTCATTTCTGTAGGTGTACACCCTTCAAACAGCACCATTTGTTTAATCTCCACATAACATGGGAACACAACAAGTCAAGGAAATACATATATTTTTTCTGGTATTGAATGTTGACATATCAAAACAGCAAATTGGGCTGCATCTCTCATTGACCTCCTAAGTCACAAGATCGCTGACGTAATTGCTGACGTAATCTGCACTCTGCACATGCGTTGGCGTCTTTAGCTACCTATCGGAAGCTCCGTCTTAAACCGGACTCTTATCCACTCTTTTTCGTTACATTTTTTATATCCTTTTTATTTAACTTTAACTTAAGTTTTACGTGGGTTAAGGATTTTAGTCATCCGACATGGATTTTAATCTAGATGACCGTAGAAATGCGATCAACGCTACTGACCACAACAAAGCTCCGGTGACTATGCTAGCTGAGATAACTCTGCCCCATGAGGACTGCACACTCCTTAAGAAAGCGAACAAGAAGATTGCTGACCTTACGGAAGACATCCAACGACTTTCAGAGGAACTCAAAGAGAAAGATTCCCTGCTGACTGGCTTTATGGATGTGGCTTCAGTACAAGCCAAACAGATTGTTTCTCTTAGCGCAACCGCTAACATCCAGGACACCGTGTTATGGGACCCCTCTAGCCTTCCCAGGCTTTCATCCTGCTCGACTCCGAAGCATCAGTCATCCTGGGCTGAGGTGGAGGTCCGTGGCTGCAAGAGAGGCTCAGATGGTGCTGCCTCTCCTCCGCACATCGGCCTCTCCAACCGCTATGCAGCCCTGTCTGACGACACTCCGGTCCATCCGGCGGATGCACCTGCGGCTTCGAGTCTCCCTGATACGGATCTCTTTCGGCGGACAGTGCCTGCCGACACTGTTGCATCTCCTTCACCGGCTACATCTAGCATTATGCCCCACTGGTTAGATGTAACTGGACATGATGCCATCTTGCCCTGTGCCAGTGCATCATCCTCTAACACAACATGCTCTAGTGTTTCATGGCTTTACAACAGAGATGTGTCTCACACTTTCTCTGAGATTTTGCATGGAAATGTTATTAAGCTGCCAGGCTGGATCTAGACACTAAGTGCTCTCTGGTTATTACCAGCATCACTGCTGAGGATGCTGGTCTCTACACCTGTCGACAGGGGAGGAACTCTAATCAGGATGTAAGAACACATCTCAGTGTTCTGTCAAGTGAGTCTAATTTCTGTGAAAACTTATTAAGATTCTTGAGTGGGAATTCTGCTTTTGGCACTAAAATGTTGCGCTGTGCGAAGCTGTACTCCCTTTTTCCTGTCCACTATCTACTTGCTGCGAGTCTCCCAAACCCAAGGAGAAAGCAACAGCCATAATTCATCCAGGCATTATGGGGACACCCCTTCCATTCAAGGGAAGATGTCTATGAGCACACATTTTAGACTGAATTGACCGCCGGTCTGCCGCTGGGCCTGATCGGCGGCCGTCATCTCGGTCAAAAACCTTTGCTTCCCGACTCAGACGCTCCGGAGGCCGTCTCTACCCTGCACCGTCGGGTAGCCCTTCTCTCAGGTCTGTTACTGCTACTCCAACACAACACTCGGCAGCTCACACACTCCATCCTCAGTCCGCACGCAGTGTTGAAGCAGATTCTGCTCAGTCCTGCTCTGGAACCCCACAACCGGCATCTCCTCGTCCTCTTTTCTCCCCAACCACACTAATAATTGGTGACTCCATAACCAGAAACATCCATTTCTTTAACGCTACCACTCACTGCTTCCCCGGTGCCACCACGGCTGACATTTTAAAAAAACTCCAGGACCTGATGCCGTCGCTCCCGTCCTCCATCACAAGAGTGATGGTCCATGTCGGAACAAATGACACAGCTCTTCAGCAGTCTGAGCTGACAAAATCAGATTTTAACCGTCTTTTTAACTTTTTAAAGCAGTGTGGAAAGTCCGTTTTTATCTCTGGTCCCATTCCCACAGTTGGTCGCGGTGCTGGCCGCTTCAGTAGACTCCTTGGCCTCCACGACTGGCTCCAGTCCGCCTGCAGGGCTCATCGTGTGTGTTATGTGGATAATTTTAATATTTTCTGGCAAAGAATGTCTCTTTTTAAGACAGACGGACTTCACCCAAACAAACGGGGCTCAGAAATGTTAGCTGCGCACATGCAGCATGTGGTGCGGTCCACACATGACTTACGTGAATGACTAATCATTCATGCTGCACACCTGGACACACCACCGCTCACTGAACAGATCTCTGCCTCATTGCCACAAACAACTGTTTCCACCTGCTGGCATGTAAAGCTGTCTGCTCCCAGCGCTGTTCCACAGACTAGTATTCCTGTCATCATCATGCTCAGACCAGTAAACCGAAATGTGCACATCCCAAACAGAAATATTAGTAATCTCTTAAGGACAACTGCACCAACTCCAGCACCCAGAACAAACTCATTTAAAATGGCTCTCTTCAATGTGAGATCTCTCTCAAGTAAGACTTTTATCTTAAATGATTTTATCTTGTCTGCAAATCTAAATTTTATGTTTTTAACTGAATTGGTTACCTGGTTGCAAATAAATGACTATTGCCAGCTAGCTGAACTGTGTCCGCCTCAATATGATTGTTTTAGTCAACCGAGTGGTCGTGGTGGTGGGCTAGTGAGCGTGTACAGGAAATATTTAAAATGTCATCAAGTACGCTGTGATGAATTTAACTCCTTTGAAGTTCTCACTCTTAAACTTGGAGGGCTGCAACCTATCATATTTGTTATAATTTATCACCCCCCAAACCCGCCTGGAGGATTTTTATCAGAACTTCCTGAATTTTTATCTACTCTGGTTTTAAATTATGACAGAATTGTGACAATTTTAATATTCATGTTGATGACCCCACCAATGTTAATGCAACTGACTTTTTAAATATGGCCACTTCTTTTAACTTCAAACAACATGTCAAAGGGCAAACCCATAACCGTGGTCATACACTGGACATGGTTTTTACCCTGGGTGTCAGCATTTCCTCTGTGGAATTAGTGGACATGACCATATCTGACCACAGATGTATTGTTTTTAGCTGCGATTCGCCTGTTACTCATGCCGCCTCACCAAGCTCTGTGTGTTCTCGCATCTTTAATGAACAAAGTGTTTCAAAGTTTTGCGCATTCTTTCAGAGCCAAAGCCAACACCTGTCTGATTCCAACAGCAACAATCTGGTCGATCACTTCAATCATATCTGCTTGTCGTCACGAAATATTACTGCTCCTCTAAAGGTTAGGCCTACGTCTAAAGCTAGTAAGCAACCCTGGATAAATGACAAACAAAATATTTTTCATCCTACCTGTCAAATAGGAAGTTTTGCGTGTCTGTAAACAACTATGTCTCCTCGTTCTGTCCAGTTAAATATGGTGTGCCTCAGGGGTCGGTCTTAAGACCCATTTTGTTTTCCTTGTATCTGCTTCCCCTTGGACATATTAACCATAAACATGGCATTTCCTTTCATATTTATGCTGATGACACACAAATATACTTGCCCGTCAGATCCACAGACCCTGGAATGCTGAGTTCACTCAACAACTGCCTTTGTGAAGTTAAAAAATGGATGTCAAATAATTTCTTCCAACTGAACCCAGACAAAACAGAAATCCTGGTCATCGGGTCCCAGCAGATGGCAAATCAAATACTGCCATCTGCTTGTTCCCTAGTAAATCACATTAAGGGAAAGAACCTTGGTGTTTGGTTTGATAGTAATTTAAATTTCGAGCAGCACACCACAAAGCTTGTTCAATCATGTATTTATCAACTTAGAAATATAGCAAAAAGACCAGTCTATAGGAGAGCCTTTCCCGATCTTATTTGACTTTTTTTTATCCCTTTTATTTTATTGTATTTTACAAATTTTATATTTATCTTAAATGTGTATTTTAGTCTTTTCAGTGTTTTCATGCTTTTATCTTGTATTGTTTTTGTATTATTGTCTCTTGGGTATTATTGTCTTTACACTTTGTAACTTGTTTTTGAAAAGTGCTCTACAAATAAAGATTATTATTATCATTACTGTTCAGACAATCGTTACACAATCACCTGTGTCTAAGCTACAAAAGGCATAATGAAACATTTACAGCAATTTAATTTCTTCAATTACAGTACAATTCCATATTTTTTAACAAGTTCCAGGTAAACAGATCTGAGAAATTGACTAAAATATAAAGAATGAAACCTGGGGTAACTTTATTTTTCCAAACCACACATGTAGCTGCTTCCACTATTTTGGCATAATTTTTACTGTTAGTTCTCTGTCATTCTCAGATAAAAAAACCTTGTAGCTCAAAATTATATCTCAAAAATGTAAAAACTTTGAAGAAGAACTGGACAAAATAATGCATTATTTGGCAATATCCAAAAGACTTAAAGACATTTTTATGAGTGGTTAAGAATGTGCCTCAATTCATGAAGAAGCACATATTCCTATCTTCAAAATTTCCGGTGTCATTTTTAGTTACTAGATAAAGTGTTTTTGAACAAAGTTCAAAAAGAAATTTGTGTTTGCGTTGAAAAGACAAAGACAGATAAAATGCTTTAATTGTGATTTTACTCAGTGTCAGTCTTTTTATTTTCAACAGAAATGTACAGAGTAATGTCATCTGCATACAATGTGAACATCCGACCATGTATGAATTAAAAATCCAACAACAGCTTCACAGAAGAATAACATTGAGATACATTCCTGCAGGGAGATCCTGGGATGGGCTCTGCCAAATAATTCATGTCCCCCTATGTATCCTGCTTAGTGGTCTGTTGCAGAATCAAGTGGGAATATGGGAATTGAAGAGAGCAGTTTATGTTGCTTGCTACTACGTTTCTCAGATTCCCTCTCTGTAGCAAGTGTGTTGCATCTTCAGTGTGTGAGTCCTGTGACAGATGCCTTTACTGTAAGTCCTTTTGTTCAAACAGAGACAAATTCTACCCATCAACAGAATAAAAGGTTTAAAAGGATAACCAGACTGTGTTTACTGCAGGATGGAGATGGCGTAAAATATGCTTAAGCAAACATTACCGTTAATAGTAATTTTTCCAAATGAAATGTCTGACACCTTGAATTCTCAGACCAGAGAACCATATATTATTAATCTTTTTATAATACTCCTCAGTGCTATTTGCTGTAGTGTATTCACAGAGATTAATAAATAGACAAATAAATTATACTGTTTGACCATATGTCAGACTTTTGTGCTCTATAAAAGTTACGGTTATAAAAAATTTGAGAAAGACAATGACATGTTAGGTCTTCATTTGCTAAGTACCAGAAAATAATTATAAAAATAAAGAATAATAATAATAAGTAATAAATATTTTCAACCAGAAATAAGTGAAACAGATGACTTAACAGTGGTTTGGAGAAACGTGGCCATGTTAAAGGTATTTTGAAAAGTAAAGTGTATCATACAACAAACTAAGTAAAATACCTCTCTGCTGATGTTGTACAGTTAACACTGATTAATATTCTCAAGCCTCCTTTGACACATAGAGAGGTGTGATAAAACTAAACATTTCCTAAAATAATATGTAATTGCCAAATGCCATTTATTAATAAACAGTTGATGATTGTAAAAGCTGAAGATGCTAACATGAAGCTGAAGATGATTACGTGCCATTTGAAAAGCTGCTATTCATTGAAAAATAAAAGCCAAAATAAAGAAAGAAAATGAAAGAAAATCCTGGTTTGTTCGTGTGTTTTTTTTTATTTTAAATAAAAATAAAACTATATACAAAAAGATTTCAAACCTTAAAAATGTTATCTGTTCTCTCAAGTGAAAGTCAAATAAACAATTTAAAACACATCAATGTAGTCTGGGGGTAATGGTGCTTTCAGACCAAAAGCGAAGGAGCGTTTGGGGTGGTGAGTTTACATACAAAGCCAATGCAAAGACGCGTAGAGCCGCGATTTCCTGTCAGGTGGCACAAAGCGACGCGAAGGGGGCGGGGGCGGGGGCGGGGGCGGGGGCATGAAGAGTTGAATATTTTCAACTCAAGAGAGAAAGTTGCATGATGCTGAGTCGCGATAGCCTATCAGCGTTGAGATTGTTCGTACGTCACTGACGGCTTCAGAGCGATGTGTGCTGACAGACCTGACAAAGCATGAATTCATATGTTTAACAAATCTGCATCATGTTGTAGTTATTTCGCCATCAGTTTAATCCGTTTATTGCAATTTAATCACAGCAAAATATTTACTTTGGGTTCATACAGCTGTAGTAATGGCAAGTTGTTTTAATTCACGTTATCGCTTTAAAATCGCCTTCTCGCGTTGTGTGTGAACACTTGCAGCGAATGTACTCATGCAAGGAAAGCGTCGTGAGGAGAAAATTCACGTTTGGTCTGAATGCCGCATACCTGTAAGACTTGACTGGAAGTAAGCTAAATGACAGTTAATTACATATTTTGCCTCTATTTTGAAACAGTAAACGTTGGCAACATTCATTCACACTTGAAAAATGTATACTTACACTAAACCAGAATTCCTTCTACAAGTCAAACTTTATATGACAAATGAATAGATGTTGCACAAAGAATTGAACACTTTTGTGCTTCCCTTGTCCACCCTGCTTGCATTGTTATTACCACAGAGATTCCTCAAGATAGCGCTCTCCTTCTTTCATGTGTCAACATCTCAGTGTGATAACAGACAACAGTCAGCATTAAAAACAATTAAAAACCAAGAATTTGAAATCATGTACTTGAGTATAAAAGTTGAAATTGTGCAATTTTCTTTTTGTGCACTGAACTCAGAACATGTTCACATTCTGTTTGGTCCTTTGTGGTTTGTGTAGGAAAACGCTGCAGCACTGTTGTGATGTCATGAAGCCACTGTACACTGTACAGGCATTTTTTTACTACTGCAGAATGTTATTTCTCTAATGCCATAATCTTCTTTAAACCTGTTAGAGTTAGGGCTGGGCGATCTGGCCAAAAATGTTATCCTGATGAAAACATTTCATATTATTCGATAAATGTCAAATGATTATTTCTTTCAAGTTTAAAGGCTGATTTTTGCTCCTGAGAGAAAATTGAAGAAACCAGATGGTTAATATGTAGTTAAACTTTTCTTTATGGTCAGAATGTGACAAACACTTCATGCCAAACAGTGGCTCACTTCACAAGTCTGAGTTAGAACATTTAAAACTACTATCTTTTTCAACAAATATGATTAGTTCATCTTTAATAGAAAAGGTGCTAATTTGTTTGTGATTCAAATGAATCAAAGCAAATATTTGACAATATATTGAACATTTATTATATTGTTATTGAGGAAAATGATGTTGCGATAATTATTATTATTGTTTTATTGCCCAGCCCTAGTTAGAGCCAATTAAGGGGTGTCGTCAAAACAAGTCTAACCTTCCTCCATCAAGGTCTTGCTAGCACTTATTATGATGGACTCGTTTTTACATTAAGATTTGGACTTATTATATAATAAATTAAAACATACATTTACTTTCACTATTACAATTACATGAATCATAAGCATAGAGTTTTGATTCTTCATGTCAGTTATGTCAGTGCCCGTTCATAGCAAGTCAACTTTCCTCCTCCTTCCCTACACCTCCTTTTTCCCAGTGTGGTGGTGAGTTAAGGGAAAGAAAATAGGGAAAATGCGCAGGCATGCATCCCTGGAATCTGATACCAAAATGCAATTCTTCTAAACATTTCACTCTTTTGCCTTGTCGTTTGTCATGAATGGAAGGACTTGCCATCCCGGGTTTACTGTACGGGGTAGGCTTTCATGTACTTTTGTAATTGTCTAGCACTCCCAGGACTTGTCATATCATTTGTGACAAAGTCTGTCTATTATTATGCAGACTAAAACAAACCATGCTAAATGATTTGCATCTGCCTGTTTACTGTGCGTGCAGCATTGTATTCAAATATTCATGGTTTATGCCTCCGATGTAGAGGTCCTCTTCGATAATTAACATAAGTGTTGTGTGTAAAGAGAAAATCCAGTGAAACAATATCAGCAACATTTACAGTGTGTTTCATGTCAGTCTAGAGCATGAGAGGATAATTCAAGTAAACTCAGGAAATGTTGCCCTGTGCAGTAGCTGCTGTACAAAGCCAAACAAAATGGCTCACTAGTTCTTCCTCCCAGACACCTGAAGACTCCAAACAAAGAACTCCTGCTGTGATGAATCAAGAATCACAGAAGGATTTTGTTTCTTTCAACTACAGGGAGGCTTGTGATGGTGATCTAGGAATTGAAAGCTTGTTTTACCAGCCTGTTTTCCATTGAAACTGGATTTACAAACAGTAACCGAAGTAGAGCAGCATGCTTCACCTACAGTAAAAATAACACTTCTTCTACATGTCATTGCTGCCTTTTTTATCGCAAACTACCTTTCAGGATGAAACCCAATGTTCTGACAATTGGAGGCAATGCTTCTTCTATGCAAGTGTTTTGGAGCACAACCCATTTTACAGAAACTTCCGAACTCTCAGATCCAGTTGGTGATTAGAATGAGGACCCAATTTACGAAAAAAACAACAACTAACAGATGAGTTCCTAAGTCAATGTTCCTATCCTAACTTAAAAGTGTATAACACAATAAGCTATCCACACGTTGACATTTCTGTGTGGTGTTAGCTAACTTGTTTTATCTGTATGGCTCCTCTTTTATTGCTTTTACACAACCGATGAAATTTCAGCGGGTGAAACTTATTCACTGAGAGGGCTATCTCATAGCACACACCCTTTATTTCATCTTTAGATTTCTCTACAGATGTTACCAACAGCTCTAACTCATTTGTCTTTAAGACAAGTCCCTGTTGTTGTTTTTGCTCTGTTTTTGTATGTTTCAGCGAGAAAAAGCAACAGTTATGAAATTGTTTAGCTGTGAGATTAGGTAACATACAGATAAGGTGATAAGTAATGTTGGATTTAGTTAAATTTTTCTAAGACTAGGAAGTTTCTGTAACAGGGCTCCTGGATCCTCCTGCAGAGGAGCTCTGAAGGAGTCAAGCAGCTCGGGGGGAGCGCTGTGCCTTGTTGGTCACCCACCTGCCACTGTAGATTGTGGCTGTGCCTGATTAGACTTGGCTCACACTCAGAGCCAGAGATTATGCTTGGCAATATAAAATCAAGTGCACCTTCAGGTACTTCACATAGCCAACATGTCCGTCTCCCGTGACAGCAAGGAGACTTTCTTAGTTCTCCTGCGATCCTGTGATTTGGCAGGGTCACAGTGAGGTTTCACGGGAGAAGCTGATCGAGGTTTCCATCTTGGCTGTGTTGGTTTTCTTTCCTGAAGTGCAGTCACCAGGACACTCAGAAGGAAGCTAGGAGAAAGAATGATGGAGAAAATGTAGATGGCCATCAGCAAAACTTCCTCAAGCATTTGTTGCAGTTTAGAAGTGCCAGGGATGAATTAGACCAATTAGACAAATTATAATAGAGTACCCTCCGCTTTGATGAAGCTAATGGGGTGCTAATTAATGTGAGTCTGATTAGACAAATGCACCCCTCGCTGGGCTGTTATTGGTATTTGCTTCCAATTTTGCTTAAAATTTTCAAGAAACTCAGTTTCTAAATATATGACAGAGAAAAACCGGGCATGTATTTGTGCAATCATTCATTTTTTATGTACGATACATGGTTGTTAACACACCTTGTTATCAACAAGGTTATCAACAAGGTGTGGGAGTTGTTGATAACTTCTTGTTATCGACAACATGTGGTGGAGTTTAGGGGTGTGACAAGTCCTGTTATCATTTAAACCTTCACGTATTGGCCTGGTATTCATCAGACAGAGTTGAATCAATTTGCAAGTCAATGTTTCCAGATTTCTGTCTTGTACTGTAGCAAAAACTGACTGTGTAAGGCCAGCAAAACAAAGCAACAAGTAAACCCTCACCAATGAGTAAGATCTGTGCCACCTTTTCACTCGCAATTATTGCACCATCAATATTTTTTATGTTAGCAAAGTATCACGAGTACTTGTAGGGGAAAGATGTTGCAGGGAAACCAACCAGCAGAGACTTATCGCCAGACTGCAGTTTTTCTTCGCTCTGTGCCACGTTTTACCATCGTTAATCTCATTTTATTGGTTTACACTCACAACTCTCAAAGTTAGAGATTAGCTGGTGAAAACAGTAGAGCATTTAGCATCTAAAGTGGGAGATATTTTCCTCAGAGCTAAAAGAGAGCAAGTATTTGGACCTACTCTGGTGACACAAACACAATAATTTGTTTGCACTGCACCCAAGTGGCCAAAACATCATCTCAGTCTACCACAGTGTCTTTCTTTATATTACCACCAGATGCCGCCAAATAAAAACAAAATGAAAGTCCTTGTGAAATGAGGCAGTGCTTGTGGCCACAATCACATTTAAAAGTTGGACAAAACTTACTAAGTTATTTCATTGGATTTATTTTCAGACGCCACATTTCACAAGTAAAAAAATCAGAAGAAATACATCTCAAAACATAAATTCAGGAATAAAGAGTTCTGCGGATAAATGTTGAAAAAATGTAATTCATAATTCATCTTGCAAAACTTGATTGTGGGTTCCTGAGGGAAGCTAAAGATTAGGTTGTAGACCTCTGAATTAAGGATGAAGCGGAAAGAGAGGATGGGCTTGATGATTTGCCTTCTCTGAAGGGCACTTCAGCAGTGACTCAGCAGGATGGCGGGGACATAGTCTGATTGAAGAGTCCAGATTCAGATTTAATAGCTTAATCAGCCGGTGAAGAGGTCAGAATCAAGAAGAGAAAGGATTTTATAGCTGTGTCTGTTTAGAGGACAATTTGTAGAGAGAGACTTAATGTCCAAACTAACAAAAAGACTCTGTTCAGGGAATCTAGAGAAAGATTCAAGAATCTGTCTCACCATAAGGTCACTCAATGGGACGCCAGAAGGAGGAAAAATAATGAACAAAGAGACACTCAGACTAAATGCTTTCCTCTCCTAAAGGGCACTCCACAGGAACCCAGCTGACAGAGAGGAAGGGAGATGGAAAGGAGAAGGAAATGATGGAATAAAGTATGAGAAAATAAGGATTTGTTTTATTTCAAATTACAGCAGGCCCTCATTTGTTCAAATCCATCATCCAGAGGATCAACAAATATACAAAAACACTAAAAGAAAAGAACAAGTAAAAAACTGCTTGCTAATTTGGCTCAAAGCAACTACAATCACATTCCATCAAGGTCCTACTGAGTAATAATAACTTGTTCCTGGTGGATGAGATCTTAAAATCTATACGTCTAATCTAACGTAATTTTCTTGAAACCTGAACTCAAATAAGTGTCAGCTGCTCAAAGAAGAATACTGCATATACAGATAAACATTCCACAGCTGACTTATGTAAAATGGCCAAAGAAAGTGATCTACTGTTAACCTTTGGGTGTTTGTTGGGTACAAGAAGGCAGGCATCACCATTACTGTGTTTTTGTGTGTGTTTTTGTGCACTTACTGCTTGCAGGTGGCTGCTATCTGCTCCCATGTTGACATTGTGTCTTTTCAGTTCTGACTTAATAAAGGCTGAAACATGAAACAAGGAAACATTACCTTTCTAATACTTGGTTTGACATGCACAACTGAACACACACATATTCACACACACACAGCTTACCAGTGAGCAGTATTCCCAGGAAGATCCAGACGCAGAGGAAGATATTTCCAGTCAATGGATTGTGGTCTGTGGTCAGTTTGCCCTGAATCAGAGTGAAAATTATCCCAAATATCTGCAGGCGCACACACACACACACACACACACACACACACACACACAAATGCATGATTAATTAATATCAAAGCAGTACTACATATAGTGCTTAAAAGACACTTCTGAGGAATTTTATGATACCTGAGCAAAAGCATTGAGGAGTCCTGACGATGTTCCTTCAGACTCTGGGTAAGTGATCTCCACTCCAAACTCAAACCCCAGAGGCAGGTAACCCGTCATGAAAAACCTGAGACACAGACGTGAGACAGGAGCACAGAGTTTAGAGACTAAATAAAGTCCAATAATAATGTGTTCAGCTTAAAAATGGGTTTATAGCCTCTAAGAACGAAAAAAAACTTCTTAAAGATCCAAAATAGTTCAAAATATTAAGGTTAATATTAATATAAATAAGATTAATCCAACAAATCGCAGGTTGCATCTTGTCATATACATATTTTAATTTATTTGAAACATCTACACACTGCCTGCTAACTGCGGGTCTGCTGGAATTAAATTAAAGCCGTAGATTGTTACCTTTCACTGCACTGTAACGTCCGTTTATGTCTTTCTTTGTTTTTAGATTTTCAGTGCCCTGATTCTACACTGCGCTGTAACTTTTACTGTCCTGTTGTACTGTTTTTATAATGTGTTTTATTTTTTCAATTTCCCTGTGTTGCTTTTATGTCTGATGTAAAGCACTTTGAATTGCCTTGCTGCTGAAATGTGCTATACAAATAAACTTGCCTTGCCTTGCTTCATGCCTACAGTATTGTGTAGAGAGTAAAACTGCACGGTGATGCAGCCTAAAGGTCAGATAAAGATACAGCTGCCAGTTTCAATCCCAGTCGTCTGGAAACGTCCTGTCTTTAGCTTGTTTTAGCAGTTCTATGATCAAGAATTAAAAATCTTCTAATTCTAAATTATTAAAATTTTATGGTGGTTTTATGAACGTTTATGATTGGTTAGTGGCTGTTAAACTTCAAAAGTATGCTGAGTCGGGTGATGAAACATTTTCACTACCACTGAGTGTGCCCCCTGTTTCTCCCTATAGCAAACAAGTAAATATATAAATGTGACTTTGTTGAGTGATAATTTACTCTAACAATTTTTAGTTTAGTTACTCTTTATTAAAATTTGTGGCTACTTGTTCAGATCTTCCACTGAACTGAAACTTTTTTGTACTCCTCTGTTTCTTCGGTTTTATTCCATTTTAGCTTATGGATATATTTTACATGTATATTTTCCTTTTGTCTTCTTTTGCATCTTTTCTTAATTTTTGTAACTGTAACACAACATCTTAGCATGTGTAAAAAGAAATACGTATTATTTTACAATTTTAACACTCTTATATAATTAATCAAAATACATATTGTAGGAGTTGTAGACTGACCCCTGCTGTTATTATTCATGAAGTATATCTGTATTTCAATGCATTGCACTTCACTGTTGGCCAGGATGTTGATTAGTGCCTCCTTGTGAGAACAAGGTTCCCAGTTTAATAGTTAGTTTATTGCTCATGCTCTCTCTCTTGCTCTCCAGCTCCCTCTTCTCTCCTGCAGGCACACTGCCGGTCATGTGAGGACAGCATCGTCCTTAGTTTCCCTTTTGTTCTTTTATGCACTGGACCCTACACACCATCTCATCTCTCATGCACACCTTATATTTCTCATTCCACTGGTAGTTTCCACGCCTTGTTAATTGGCTTTTGTTAAATAAATTACTTTTGTTAAACTGTTGAAATGGTTGAGAGACAGTGGGTACGGAAAGTATTCAGACCCCTTTACATTTTTCACTCTGTTTCATTGCAGCCATTTTCCAAAAATCAAAAAAGTTCATTTTATTTCTCATTAATGTACACTCAGCACCCCATCTTGACAGAAAAAAACAGAAATGTAGAAATTTTTGCTAGAGATTCTTATTTCTCATAGTCTTTCATGTGTTCTTTGGCAAACTCTACACAGGCTTTCACATGTCTTGCACTGAGGAAAAGCTTCCGTCGGGCCACTCTGCCATAAAGCCACTACTGGTGGAGGGCTGCAGTGATTTTTGATTTTGTGGAACTTTCTCCCATCTCTCTACTGCATCTCTGGAGCTCAGCCACAGTGATCTTTGGGCTCTTCTCCCACAATTGCTCAGTTTGGCTGGACAGCCAGGTCTAGGAAGAGTTCTGGTCGTCCCAAACTTCTTCCATTTGAGGATTATGGAGGCCACTGTGCTCTTAGGAACCTTGAGTGCTGCAGAAATTGTTTTGTAACCTTGGCCAGATCTGTGCCTTGCCACAATTCTGTCTCTGAGCTCTTCAGGCAGTTCCTTTGACCTCATGATTCTCATTTGCTCTGACATGCACTGTGAGCTGTAAGGTCTTATATAGACAGGTGTGTGGCTTTCCTAATCAAGTCCAATCAGTATAATCAAACACAGCTGGACTCAAATGAAGGTGTAGAACCATCTCAAGGAGGATCAGAAGAAATAGACAGCACCTGAGTTAAATATGAGTGTCACGGCAAAGGGTCTGAATACTTATGACCATGTGATATTTCAGTTTTTCTTTTTTAATAAATTTGCAAAAATTTCTACATTTCTGTTTTTTTCTGTCAAGATGGGGTGCTGAGTTTACATTACTGAGAGATAAAATGAACTTTCTTGATTTTTGGAAAATGGCTGCAATGAAACAAAGAGTGAAAAATTTAAAGGAGTCTGAATACTTTCCGTACCCACTGTATTTGTAATTCCTCACCTCTGCAGATACAAACTGCACTGTACAAGCACACAGCTGTTTTACCATGATTATATACGGGTACTGTAGGGATCTCCGTGTGAAGGTCAGTGCTGTTAATGGACATAAAGTGTGAGGGAGGGAACGAGTTATGCAGACTGTGCAATGTCATCTGTCTTTATGAGCCCTCTGACACAACTGGAGATGGTTTGCAAGGATAACCTGTAACGTGTATCATTATATGATACTGTGCAGCCAACAACTCAAACTTTTTTAATTTGATCTATATAATATGATATAACATATATAATATAAATATATTATAAAATTGTAAAAAAAAAAAAAAAACAGTGCAGCACTTAGATATATATTTAACAACAAATACTGTACACTATACAAATGTAATGTAACTAGATGTATTATTTAGCAAACCAGGCCCGTCGTACCCGAGGATTCCAGCAGTGAAGAAGACCAGGTAGATGTTGTTGAGGTTCAGAGTAAAGGTGAAGACCACCATGCCCACAAACGACAGGATATACACGATCAGAGTCGTCGTCCTGTAAAACAGCAGCACAAACTCGTCAGAGACACTCGGTTTTTTGATTACTTTGATTGACAGCATTTTCTTCCCCAATCAGTGTTTTTGTTACTTCTGTAATCATCCTCTGCATGTGAAACTAACTCCTGATTCGTTTTCTTCCCACTTGATTCCCACACACAGACATGAGCTAGACCAGATGAAAAAAACAAAAAAAAACACATCCTCAGTTCATTTTCACTTTCCAAAGAGCGTTATCAACGGGCGCAAACCAAATTGCCTCTGGATTTAATTGAAGCGGTTGCGATTGGCCCGATCTGATTTTGGGTGGGTAAAAATTTGCCGGAGCAAATGAAACATGAGCTTCTCACAAACCAGACTGATCTGTTTGATTTGTCTCACAAAAGGGTCAACAACTAATGTATTACACTATAAGGCCCCATTTATATCAACATACCTGTCTGGGCCTGTTTTTCAAGGGTTGGGCCTCTTAGTTTGAGTGACGAGACATGTCAATGCTACTTCGAACAATGACATATTAACAACTTTGTGGCAACAGTTTATGGAAGACCATGTACTAACATCAGTGGCCAGTAGCCTGCAGGCAGGGGTCTAATCTTTAAGTGTCCACATACCATGGAAGACATTACAGCATTATGGAGATGTGCAATAGTAAAGTATTATATAATGACCCCTGCTGTTATTGTCCAGCAATGTCTTTGCATTTCAATGCTTAGCATTTGATTGCTGGGCAGATGTTGATTACCGCTTCATGATGACACCCAGGCCCGGTGTTCCCAGGATAACAAAGCGAGGTCTGATTTCTCATGGTTTTCTCTCTCTCTCTTTCTCTGTCTGCTCACTCACCTTCTCACTCTTCTCTCCTAAAGGGACACTGCCGGTCGTGTGAGGACGTTACACTCTCTCGTCCAGCATGCACACCTTACACTACTGATTCCACACGCCACACCTTTTTAATGTTTACATATGTATTTCATTTATTAGCTTTTGTTAAATAAATTTGTCACGGGCCACACTGTGACACTGCACACAAGAAAAACAACTAAATTACAAAAAAAGTCTATCTATCACAAAATGAACAGGTGGGAAAAGCTTGTGTACGCGTTGCCTACTTGTACATCTTTGTGTGGTCCAGCCACAGGCCACAGAGGATGGAGCCGACCATTCCAGCGATAACCAGAGTCAAACCAATTCTTCCAGCATTCAACTCCTGATTCTGAGGAAAGGAAAGGAGAGGAGAGGAGAGGAGAGGAGATGTTATTATAGCCTCAATGGAAACAAACAGCTGATTTAAAGGCTTCTGTGTGCCTTTAAACTCATCAAATCTGAACAGAGATACAAAGCCTCTCCTTACAGGTGGACTATAAGCCAGTCACATGTTTTGTTATACTGTATATGGGAGGGTGTTGTTAGCTGGGGGGAGTAAGGAATTTATGGTGTTTCTGGTAAGAGAGATCTATTAAGTCATCTGATGGTTCAGCTCAGAGAGTTTTATAAGTTCATGCAAGGGTGAACATATCTCAGTGTTTGTGTGTGTGTGTGTGTGTGTGTGTTTGTGTGTGTGTGTGTGCACTGACAGTGTTATGGTGGGCAGCAGGCATGCGTGAAAACAGCTAATGAACTCAGACAATAAGCTCATGTCTCATCACAGCCATCAGAAGTTTCTTTGTTCTTTTCTCTCTCTGTCTCTCTTTCTTTCCATACACTTTTATGTACATTTTAAACATGAATAGGAACACCAGAACTAAAAAACAACAACCAGCTAAATGGAAATAATGTTTTAAGCGTGGTTGAGGTGGAAAAGTCGGTGTGCTGATAAAGATCTGCGATAGATTTTTCCGTTATTATGTTGTTTGACCTGCTTTGTATCTTGTATATTGTAGCGTATTCTGTTAGAACAGAATAACAGCTAGGGGAGCTAAAATTAAGTTTTTGGCCAAATATTTAAAATAATCTAAACAATCTAAAATCGGACACTGAGACAATCAGGAGGCAAGAGACCTGAACCCATTATTATTTCTTTGAACTACTGATAGCAACCTGTTCAGACTCAGTGGTAATGTCCCAGTCATAGATATCCTGTACATAATGTAATAGTTGTAATGAGTGTCCTCCCTTAAAACTCACGTGAAAAAGACAGCAGTGAGTGCAAAAAAGCTGCTGGTTTTACCTCATAGTGGGCCAAGATCATCTGGTTGAGAAGTGTTGAAACGGAGTAGAAGGAACCGGTCATTATACCTGCAGACAGACAGAAACAAAGAAGCAGGGCAATGTGCAATTAGTTTTAGCAGCTCTGTCTTGACTCCTTTCAGCTTAGAATTGAATTTGTCCATGATGAATATGTCTGGGTTTGGTTTTGATATTTTTAAATCTAATGCAAAAATAGGCACATGCCCAAACCACAATAGGAACACTGCAGGGAAAAGATGAGATTTACTGTAGAAACTATGTTCCTTAAGGTCACTGTTTTCTAACAACAAGGACGACTGTGTGTTCAGCTGCCGTGACTGTGAGTGTGTGTGCATCCCTGATTGGTGCTTACCGAGTTAGAGTCACCATTAGGGGTGGGTATCGAGAACCGGTTCCAAGTTGGAACAGTTACAAAAAACACAGATGAGCTGACGTTCACCTTTTACGCTGAAGGTAAACAAATGATGTCTATAAATGATTCCAATATTTTTGTTTTTTGTCCCCAGAAATGCCCCTCTAGTACAGAAACTCCTTTCACTTTAGCCATGAAAGTAAAGATGAGCAAAAAGGAAGAAGGCCACAGAGCGCTGACAAGATTTATGTTGAAGGTGTCAGAAACAAGATTTGATAAGAACCGGATTTGATTCGTAGAATAGTAATCATGATGAAATTGAAATGATACCCAACCCTATTATGCATGCAGGTCAAATGTGTATGACACTGGCCTAATCCTCTTCTTTAAGTTGGCCTGTCACATGCAGAAGAAAACAGAACCATGCAGTCTGGAATGTGCCCGGCTGAATGAGAACATAAAAGTCAGCTTGACACAGTGTGACATTTCAGCCTCATTCAGTTGCTATTCCCTAATTTTGGCTCTCCAGGGCAAATGTTCACTTTCTGGATTGTTATGTGAGGATTGTGAGCGTTGTTTTAGAGGCTTGAAGGATTTGAAGGTTGACAGATTAGGTTAAAAACTTAACACCTTAATCTTGGGTCCTGCCCTGTTTGGATAAACGAGTAGTGGCAATAGATGAATGCAATACAAGTAAATAAATTGCTGTGGTTACTGCAGTATAAATTAATGTACGGTAGTTGTACTAATGGAATATGTACAAATACTCAAATATGTAGTGGTATAGCTGAAGTAATATTAGTAATAGTAGCAGCAGTAACAGAAGTAATAGCTAGGGATGCACGATATTGGATTTTGGCCGGTAACGATATTTACCGTACCTTTTTATTATTTCACTGAAGAGAACACTAAGTCTCTCCTGTATTATTTATACCATATTACTCATTTGTTGTAGAAACAGATCTTAAACAAGATAAATAACGTTTGATTCTACAAAAATTATAATTTTACAAATGTAAACATTGACATTCACCCCTGACAAAAAAGTAAATAATTTCACTTGGGGGAGGATTATATGCCAGTGCACTTTCTCTTCACTTCATTTTATTTTTATGTAAAACTGTAACAACCAAGCTCCATATATTTTCTGAGCTGCAAACTGCAGCAAACTCCTCAGCATGTAAAATGTTTTATTTTAGACGAGAGATGGCAAGCGTTTAAAATGTCCTGAAATCTTCCTCCTGTGACCAGGCTGCAGCCTCTGCTGCTGTCTGTGTGTGTCAGCTCCTACACACACACTGCGGCCAGCAGAGATCACGGCCGCGGTGGTGACGGTGAAGTGAAGATAACATATTAGCTCCAAAATACTCAGTTGATGACAGCTACACTTGTTACTGTAAGTACGTGCAATAAAACCATCACGAGTAAAAAGACAATACTTTATCAGTACATCTGTTAAACGAGCATAAACACGTAGAAAGCGTTATTTTAATCTGCCCTGTCTACAGTCTCTCATCCTCTATGTGTTATATAAGCCCAGCTAACGTTGGCTTGGCTATTAGCCACATGTACAAACCAGCTAAATTGAAAACTGTCTGTAGTCTAACTTGTCAGTTTAGTTTGTCATGTAGCTTAAAACTTGGCACATTGTTATCTGCAGTGAATCAGCCAGATGAACAGCTGAACAGCTACTCGATGTGTGTTTTCAGTTGTTTTAATATAGACGGAGATCAACTCTGATACGCAGTTAAAATGCTGCTGTGGACTGAGAAGATCGTATTCGTTATAAAACGGTTTAAAAAACTGTAGTAGTGTGGATGAAGCCTCACATTACCCCACTCCTCTCTCCACTCCTCTCATGTCAATCCTCCAGTTTTCCCCGGGATTATCCCGTATTTTCCCGTTCTCACCTGGTATCCTCCCAGTTTTCCTGTAAATCTCCCCTATCTTTAACCTTTTTAAAATCAAATAAAAACCTGCCGGCCTTATTTAAAATGTTTGCTACCTCTGGTAAAGCCGGTGGCAGTAGGCCTATGTAAAAGATGTAGACTGCTTCTTAAATTTTAATGTCACGTTTATTACATGACTTAAATAATTATAATAAAAACAGACCCAATCACTTATTTTCGCCTGAAAACATTTTTTACTTGCTAACCCTCCTGTTTTTTCACAGCACTAATAGCTCACAGCAGTTTAATGTTACGGTAGTTGGGTGATGGAAGCTGCTGACAGACGTAACTGTAGATTTATTCTGAAACAGTGTGGCAGTTCTAGTGAACGGTCCAAATTTTAATCTAGTTCATCACTTCTAAATATTCTCTAAAATCACGTAACGTTACAGCAGCTAACGCTGCCCGTTGCTAAATTAGCCACAAAGCTAATGCCGTGTTTATCAGTGAGCCGTTAAACTATAGTTTCTGGTGTATTCTAAATACATCTGTGAGCTGCCTGTCTGCAGTTAGTCGGCTTGTCTGAAATTATTAAACCAGAGCGGACATCTAAATAAACGTGAGCTGAACAAGAAAATAACACGACTTCCTGCAGCTCAGGCTCTTTTTGTGACGTTGTAGATGTGAAACGCTGTCAGAGCCGTAACGGCTCTGGTTATAGTTATAACGTTAGTTAAATGAAATCTCAAAGTTGCAAGTCCTCATTGTAGAGTCATGTTGTATTAGATGCATTCAACAGCCGCTCACTGTATCATAGACGGCATGATTTAGACAGATGATGAGGTTTCTCGTAGCTTTGGTCAGAAGAGTGCTGGTAAAGGGATAAACTAGATGTGAATATGCTACATTGGAATTATGGCAGATTATGTGTAAAGTGAAATATACATGCTTATTCTCTCTCTGTTTACAGATGGCTGAAAAAGTTGCACATTCCAGCAACAAATATTTATTGATGTGCAATAGTTTACATGTTCACTTTTTGAGACTGTGATCTATTTTATTAACATAATCCATTTAGGAAAAGGTTTTATAGCCCACATACATAGCAGCTTTCAATATTGGCCTGTTCTAAGTGTAGTTTATACAGTAAAGGGGTCTGGTACTATTACTACTACTTCTACTATCCAAATCATTCTCTAAATCTAAATATCAGATCATAAATTAGCTCTTTTTCACTTTAGCATCACCCCCAAAAACCCATATCGTTCGGGCTCTAGTAGTGATGATAATAATCTTAGTAGACAGGTAGTAGTAGTAATAGTAGTAGGAGCAGAAGGATTATAGTAGTATTTATAGTGAACATTTTAATGTTAGAATTAGCAGTAGAAATAAAGAAGTAAGTAAGTGGTTGTAGTATCTATAGACCTTATCTCTCTTCCAGGAGCGTTGAGCCAAGAGAAGAACTGTCAGGGCTCATTAACTGCTGATTCTTGACCTCCTGACTATAGTTTGCATATATGTTCTGATGATAATCCAGGAATTGAGACATACCATAGTCACACCCAGTCATAGAAAGTTACTCTCTGGATCTAACAGTCCATAAATCTGATGGTGTTTCACACTTACCGTAGCTGATGAGCAGGAGGACAAATGCTTTATTCTTTATCAGGTTGATGATGGACTGTTTATAGGAGTAATCTTCAGGAGGAGAGTCTGGTAGGACAGCCTGGGCATGACTGGGAGAGAGGCGAGGGCGATCCTTTATGACTGCAGAATAAACAGAAAAAGTCCAGTTTGGGTTAGCTCGCAAATCCACTTGTTAAAAACAGAGATACATACACATGCACCGAATGTTCTTGCACTTTCGGTGTTTGGCCTAATACATCAAAAGGCCGAAGAAATTTTACTGAACAATTACGTTGACATGTTGGCAGTGTGGAAGCATTTTAAAGTGTCTGAGAAAGATGCAAAAATGGCCATTTGCAGACACACTTCTGCTGAATTGTCTCCTAGCACATCCACACTATCGGTGTGGTCTGACCCACTTCGAGAGTTTTCTGTCACTCGTTTGTAGCCGCACCTACATTTGGAGCGCACACATATTCAAGCCTTTGTGGTAAATCTACTGAAATGGACCAAACGTGAATACCACAATCTAAGAAAATGAGGTTTTAGGTTGCAGAAATGTGGGAGCCCACAAGAAGCCCAGCAGGGTTCCTTGAGGAACTCCAATAAGCTTAAATGTAAAATAACAAACACTGAACCCATAGAAATGTTTCAATCCTTTTATTTCTGCCTGATTTATTGTACTTTTTTTAAATCAATATGTTATCACTGAATGCCTACTACATTTGCATGACCAGCTTCAAGTCTTCCCTACATTATTGCTTGCCGTCCGTTTTTGTCCGCCTCACTGTATTTGAAATGGGACCAAATATCTAATCGCCTCTTTCTCCCTAGCATGTTGTGTGCACCACCAGAGTTCGCATCCTCCACAGTAACTATAGTAACGTTTTCCTCGTGCACCAGGCCATTGCCCCGGTTGGCCAGCATTTAAAGCACAGGAAGAAAAAAAATAACCCTGAATGAACACACTGGTCAAGTGAAAATTCTCCTCATTATACTGAGAAAAAGAAAGAGAGATTTTATTAACGTTTCTATGTTATGAATTACATTTTAGTCTCATAATTTTTCATCAACAATAGGCCTATTGCATGTCAAGATAGTCACAGTCAGTTTTTAAGTACATTGTCGCCGTCTCGTCATCGTTTCGCTTTAGTCATGGAAAAAAAAGGTCGTTGAAGAATATACAGGACATACAATATATTGGACAATGAAACTGAAACACCTGGTTTTAGACCACAATAATTTATTAGTATGGTGTAGGGCCTCCTTTTGTGGCCAATACAGCGTCAATTCGTCTTGGGAATGACATATACAAGTCCTGCACAGTGGTCAGAGGGATTTTAAGCCATTCTTCTTGCAGGATAGTGGCCAGGTCACGACGTGATGCTGGTGGAGGAAAATGTTTCCTGACTCGCTCCTCCAAAACACCCCAAAGTGGCTCAATAATATTTAGATCTGGTGACTGTGCAGGCCATGGGAGATGTTCAACTTCACTTTCATGTTCATCAAACCAATCTTTCACCAGTCTTGCTGTGTGTATTGGTGCATTGTCATCCTGATACACGGCACCTCCTTCAGGATACAATGTTTGAACCATTGGATGCACATGGTCCTCCAGAATGGTTCGGTAGTCCTTGGCAGTGACGCGCCCATCTAGCACAAGTATGGGGCCAAGGGAATGCCATGATATGGCAGCCCAAACCATCACTGATCCACCCCCATGCTTCACTCTGGGCATGCAACAGTCTGGGTGGTACGCTTCTTTGGGGCTTCTCCACACCGTAACTCTCCCGGATGTGGGGAAAACAGTAAAGGCGGACTCATCAGAGAACAATACATGTTTCACATTGTCCACATCCCAAGATTTGCGCTCCTTGCACCATTGAAACCGACGTTTGGCATTGGCACGAGTGACCAAAGGTTTGGCTATAGCAGCCCGGCTGTGTATATTGACCCTGTGGAGCTCCCGACGGACAGTTTTGGTGGAAACAGGAGAGTTGAGGTGCACATTTAATTCTGCCGTGATTTGGGCAGATTTATGTTTTTTGGATACAATCCGGGTTAACACCCGAACATCCCTTTCAGACAGCTTCCTCTTGCGTCCACAGTTAATCCTGTTGGATGTGGTTCGTCCTTCTTGGTGGTATGCTGACATTACCCTGGATACCGTGGCTCTTGATACATCACAAAGACTTGCTGTCTTGGTCACAGATGCGCCAGCAAGACGTGCACCAACAATTTGTCCTCTTTTGAACTCTGGTATGTCACCCATAATGTTGTGTGCATTGCAATATTTTGAGCAAAACTGTGCTCTTACCCTGCTAATTGGACCTTCACAGTCTGCTCTTATTGGTTCAATGTGCAATTAATGAAGATTGGCCACCAGGCTGGTCCAATTTAGCCATGAAACCTCCCACACTAAAATGAGAGGCGTCTCAGTTTCATTGTCCAACCCCTGTATTTTGTTAAGTTCCATCTGACGAAAGTAGCACTGGGCTAGGTTATATCAGATATGACCTAAATACACCTGAAGATACTAGGAGCCTCTCATTCTTATCCTTTAAATGTAAGTAAACTGCTGCTATTAACTTAACTACAATGTGAAATATTCAAAAGACACAAAATGTGCTTGAAATGAGTAGTCCAACACACATCATGCCTACTTTTATTATGGTCAAAGTTACATAATCAGTGTGTGACACAGTACCTAGGGTGTGGACTGATCATTCTCTCCTGAAACTCTGACATCTGATTCTTTGACACTGTTTCAACTGTATATGTTTACATACAGCTTCATGACTGTTTAAAGCCAGAGTTTAGGTCTAATATGAGAATGCTGTATTATTTAATCCTCTCTAAGCACCACTATCCCCAACCCTTTTCTTTTCCTACACGATATATAGTTAACATGCATAAAACTCTAACCCAGGCCATTTCTTAACCTAAATATAATCCTATTCTAATCTTAATCCTATACTATAAATCCTAATCCTGAACTGGTCACTTACAGGTGTAAAGAGCAGCGACCCACTATGGAGGATTTCTGGAATATTTCCATCCTTGTGAGAACACACACGCGTTCAACTGTGGTCACCTCACAACTTTGAGATAACTGAACCACAATCCATCAGCTACGAGAAAAGATGGCGTGTAGTATGTACATATACTACAGGCCTATGCTACCTTCATAAACTCCCAAGATGCTGGGCAGCATGTGTGTGTGTGTGATGTGTAGCCTACCTATAACTGTGAGGATGAAGAGGCACGTGGAGACAGCGGCGGTACCGTAGAACATGATGCTGATGTTGTGACCAGTCAGTTTAACGTCCTCAGGTGTGTTGGGAACCAAAACTGGAGGCAACAGGAAGCCTATGGCTACTCCCAACTAGTGAGAGAGACACAGAGAGAAATGTTGTTATTATAAATTATACATTTGTTGATAAACCCATTGTGTTCCTATTATTATGTATCATATATATATCATGTTCTATTCTAGTGTGTTGAAAGTATATTTTAATTAATTATTTTCTGCTTAATCATAATCTATTGCAGTGTCTATTTGTGGGCTACTTCTTTCCAGTCAGTGTTTTCTCAATATCATTAATTGCAGCTATAAATCCTATATTTTATTTAATTATATTCTATCAGCTATATATTTCTATAATAAAATATAGCCTATCAATGATCGTAGCCTACACACTGACCTGGTTCCCGAGCACGGCTGTGGCGCACGCAGTAGAAACCTCCCGCGGTCCGAACCACACCGAGGCGATGCGGGACGGCAGGCCGAGGATGAACACCTGCGCCACGGAGCAGATGACTTGCGCGGTGACGGTGACGCCAAACCGCTCGGGGCTCACGCTGGCGCACTTGAGCCAAGCGCCGACGCAGTTGAGGCCGGCGCCTAGCAGGGCCGTGAGCCGCAGACCTTTCCAGTCCAGCAGCCAAGTGGCCGGGAATATGAGCGGCACGTAGACGACCATGTAGACGATGGAGAGCCAGTCCACCTTGTCGTTAGTCACCCCGTAGTACTGAGTGAACACGTTGGTGATGATGCTGTACTGGATCCACTGGAAGGCGTTCACCAAAGAGTACAGGCTGAAAACCGCGAGCACGGCGAACCGGCGCAGATACAGTTTCGTCTCCAGCTTCTTCCCTTCCTCCTCCTCCGCCTCTCCTCCTCCTCCGTTCGGCAGCATCGCCTCTCTTTCATCCGGAGGCACCTCCTTCTCCTGCTCCAGCGCCCGGTCTGTCTCTGTCAGCCCAGACCCGCAAGTCGGCGCGGCTCCGTATGTGGACTCCGCACATCGTACCGCTGCACCGTCCGGGTCGGAGTTCTTCCTGACCACCGTGATGTCGTCAGGTGCGCCAGGATCCACGCGCAGATGCTCCTGCACGAGCTCACCGGCGACCATAATGCGTGTTAAACAGCCTACTTTGTCTTCCTTTGAGTGCGAGAGATGGAAACTACGGGCGAGTCAAGAAAGGAGGAAACGCAAAAAAAGAGCGGTTTCCTCATTCGGTTACATGCGAATACGAAAAGATGCTTTGACATTTAACATAAAAGACTAGAATATGAACCGCACTGAGACGAGATACATTTTACAACCGTACTTTAACACGCACAACATAGACTATTGTATCCTATCCCCGCTTGTATCTTGATTCTCTTCTCTGGCTTCTCTGAACCAGCATGCTGCCGTCCTCCCGGCTTGCTTGTCTCTCTCTCTCTCCCTGGTTGCCTCTATAGGTCGCTCTATCTTTTGTTAAGCCTACGCTGACACACAGCCTTCCGATGCCGATGAGCCAATAGTAGAGCTGATGTAGGCTCCTACTGCCCGGGTGGATAGACTATGCAAACGGTGACTAAGAAGCACCAGGAAGCTACGGTCCCATGATGCAACAGTGTGCTACAGTAGACTTTCAGCGTGTTGGCCTATTATCACCCATAACACTGACCTATTATAGGAGGTAAATATTAATAATAATTAAGTTTAATTACTAAATTGCCCTGTGTTCACGTTTATGTTCATTGAAATGTTCATAGACCATTTAATGAAAGATTCACTATCTAGGCCTATTTCTATTTTAGGCCTAAAAAAAATGTCCCAGTATACATTAAATATGTGTTTCCTCTTAGTTTAAGCTCATACCCATATAAGATATGATCAGCTAAAAGCTGACATGTAAATGTAAAAACAATCAAAAAAATAATGAAACAAATCCATGAAAATAACAAATGAAATAGAAACCCCTGTGCTCCTGGTCAGGTCCCTTTCAGACCTGTAATGTATGTGCTTGGTCTAAATCCTCTAATCAGCCTGTCCATATGTTTATGCCCTTATCTGTTCTAATCCCTATCTTGTCCCAGTGGGACTCCACTGCAGCAGGCAGAGGTACAAGTCTGATCCCGTCAGCCAATTCACAAATATTATACACAGATTTCACTGTTTCATATTTATTTAATATATATACAAACAGCATATGTATACATTATTATAGACCTTGTGGACTTAAACATGGTCAATTTTCAAGTTTGTTGCACCAAACACACCGCAAAAGTGCAGTCAGTCTCACATCAAAATGTGTAATGCACAAAACATTTTAATTTCGCAATAACTATTCTAAGATTGTGAGATGTTTGCAGAGGGGAGGCGGGTGGTGGTGGTGCTGGTGGGTCTATTGGCCTGCGTCCTCGTCATGTGACTGCAAAGTTTCTTTTTCTGAAAAAAAAAACAAATGACATTACATTTTATTCTCAGCATAAATTGCAATATTTTAACTTAAATTCTACATTTAAAATGCCCTTTGAAAACATTTGTAGCAAGAAATGTGTCTGTGTTTGTTCAGTGAATATAGGCCTATATGATCTTTAGTTTGTCAGTTATAAGATTATTTCAGGTCTAGCCAGTAAACTATTGCAATGCAGAGTTTATTGTTGCTATGGACACTTTAATTGCTGCAACCATATAGCTTGCATGCTGTTTCCTTGTCTTTGAGGTGTGTAGTTATCGGAGCTGTTATGTTATTTGATGTAGGCTAACTGTTCGACTCATAGCGCCAATTCAAAACAAGTTATCTCACTGTACTTTTCATAAAGAGCAGGTCTAGACCGTAGGCCTACTCTTTGTAATATTATTTACAGAAACCCAATAATCCCCACCGTGAGCAAACACTTGCGTGACAGTGGCAATGAAAAACTCCCTTTTATCAGGTAGAAACCTCGAGCACAATCTAAACCCAGGGGAGGGCGGCCAACTGCTAAGGAGAGGAGAGGGACGAGAAAGCACAAAACTACAGGAGAGGGAAGATGTCGAGGTAGTAATATTCACTAGTGGGTTAAGAATGCATACCAATGGAGGGAGAGAGGAGCTCAGTCCCCCGGCAGTCTAGGCCTGTAGCAGCATGATGGGTCAGGACTCCACTGAGTCATCCCAAACTAAGGGCTTTATCAAAGAGAAAAGTCGTAAGCCTACTCTTAAATGTGGAGATGGTGTCTGCCTCCTGGCCATGTAAACATTTCAGACTCCATGGCTCTGGATCTTGTCTCAGTGTTATATTAATATCAAATCCAATATTCTGAATGAAAAGTCCAAAGAAGGACATCAAAAAGTTTCAATGAACGGATATAAATCTTTCAACTTAGTAAGTAGCAACAGAATAATCTTTACAGTGTTGTTCTGCTGAGGCCACAATAAATGTGACTTTCTATGGTTGGACAGGAGAAGAGTGAGCTCTCACTCCGTCTCTATTTTCAGGTATCAAGAGAGAAAGAATTTTCTCTCAGTGGAAAGTGTGATGAATCCTGCCACTTTTGCAAGTGACTGACACACACACACACACACACACACAATATCACACGGGTAAAAGTTTCTCAAAGGTCCAACTTTTGAAAAGACACCAAGAAACTTTGTAGATGCTACCCATGTGTGTTAGCTATCGACAGAGTAACTCATCTCCTCAAACATAAAAGATCTTTGGCACACAGGAGGCTTCATCAGGTTTCCCGTTGCCATGGAGAAACACACTGAATACACTTGGATGATTGTTGATAGAAGAAAATACCCCCAAAACACAGCCTGATAAAGATTAAAAAAAAGAAACAATGTCCGAACCTGAAGAGCGGGCTCTCCTGGAGCTGAACCTGCGGAGGGAGACATGGTGTCAGGTGGAGATGAACCCCCGGCAGTCCTGGGAGAGGACCCAGAGGAGACATTACCGGAGTCACCTGCGGACCAGCCCGGTCCTGGTCACCGCTCTGACCGCCGGACCGCAGCGCAGGGCGGCCTGCAGAGAGGGGCCGCCCCCCGCCAAGCTCGCCGAGAGAAGGCACTTCGAAGAGAGCTGTGAGAAGGCTTGTTTGAAGATTTTACTGAAATAATTTTGTAAACATGTCTCCATGGGAAGTTGCAACGTGTGTTGTTTATCGCATTTTCTGTCAATTTCTACAATATTTCCATAATTAATAGGCACTTCTGACGGCCTCGATGGAGGTATTGCCCAAAATCAACTATAGTCCTATACAGCATTCCCACAGGGACTCCAACCAGATATTTCACACATTTATAGATTGTCATTTTATAGGCTTATCATTATTTCATGCACTATTCATGATGGAACTCAAAGCCATGCTGAGATATTTGTTTAGATCCTTTAGAAGTGGGGAGACTGTATTTCTTTTAATTAGCCTAAGCTAATAAGAGGAAAACTAATGAGAGAGATGTTTGAAGTTAGAGTAGTTATGCAATACACAAATTATTTACTGGATGACCTTCAAAATAACACTGTTTCTGCATTCAGGTGGCTGTATTGCAGGTGGCTGTCAATTCCTGGCTCTCAGTACTTGTTTCAATGCAGAAAAATATAATAAAAAACATAATAATGATGATAATAATGCACCACTTAGAATACAAAACATTGAAATGTTTTCAGATTATCTTGATGGTTTATGTCATTATACTAGATTAACAAAACAATCAACTAGTCTGTAATGGCTCTTTTCTTCTCTTCCAGATAAATCACACTTGGTGTAGACGGCTGCAGCCTGACAAGACTGTGCACAACCTAATACAACAAATACACCTGGGACCTGAACACAACTTTCAGTTTTTTATTTCCACAAACAGAGAACAGAATACATCATAATACAACATCCATCTATCATTCGCTGGTCATCACAGTTGAGTTCAAGGTCTTATAAGTTTTGCTCTTTGCCTTGAAGATTTGCATTTTTTTTCCCACCTATCGCCTGTTTAGTTAAAAATTAACTAGTATGTATGTTGCTGTGAAATTTGACTTAATGTCTAACTTTGTTCCAGATTGAAAGATTTCAGCCACTACTGTCATAATAAAAAAATGACATTTGGCAACCACTGATGATCAAGATGAATCTTAATGAGTCTTTAGTTCTTGATGTTTCTTTTGGAGCCACTAACAGGTCAAAAGTTCCACATGTGCGACACCTCAAAAACTAATGACAAAACTGTCAGCCCAAGCTGTTCATCGATCTAAATGCTAATATAGCATGCTAACATGATATCATTAGAAACATCATGTGATACAAATGTTTGTTAGCAGGCTAAGATTAGTATGAAGCCCATAACACAGCTGAGCAGCAGAGCCTGGTAAAGTGATGAAATGAAAGTGTGGAGCTAAACCTGATAAGCCGACCCCGACAGAGCATAAATCCTCTACTTTAAGTTTCATCATGCGCCGCCATCAGGCCAAACCTTACACTTCAGAAACGTGTATATGTGAGTGTTAGCACCTTTTTATATAAAGTCTATGGTTAGCACCTGTTAGCCTTGGGGAAAAGTCTGTATGCATTTTGTGCGGTGACGAGCTGAACAGTTTGTGGCGACAGACCTTTGACGTTAGCGATGTACCGGCAGGACACAACAATGTTACTGGGCTCATTCCTCACCTGAGAGATATAAGGGAACAGGAAGAGATGAAATAAAAACATTTGCAGAGGAGATGCTGCTGTGTTACAGTGTCTAAACATGATGAATTTTGATCATTTGAAACTTACATGCCTGTTGAGCCCCAGTGCAGGAGAGTCAGTTTCAAGACAGATGTGTTCCAGTGGGATCTGCTTGATCAGTTTGTCTCTCTGTATGACAGTATTAAAACTAACGTTACACACTCTGTTATCCTTATTATAATTCAACTAAAGTAACTTACGCAACTAAAGTCAGGACAGCAGATTCACTCTCCATCTTCCACTACAGGTGACATTGTTTTCTTCTCATCTTTAATTTAGGAATGGTGGAATATTGTTTAGACATTGTGTCTTTGAGCTTTGCCCTCCTTGCTTTTGAGTCATTTACCACTGTTAAACATGAGACTATATTTTTAATAGATACACTATTAAAAATGAATGCTATGTGAATTATTTGTGACAGCATGTTAATGAAATCAACAGCACAATTGTAATACAGTGGTGAAAACACAAACTTCCTTCATCAAAACACAATACTTTTTACTATACTATACATTTCAAGGAAAATATTTTGTGGTACTGCTAACGCAATTAATATTACTACCGCTAATATTGCTATTACTACCATAGGTACATATAAAGTGTACTTATACTACTGCTACTATCACAACACAAGCACTTCCAAGATGTTAACTGGTTAAACTACAACACTACTGTTACAAAACCTCTATTTCTACTGCTACGACAAGTACAACAACTTCTACTACTACTAGTAGTAGTACTATGAGTAATACCTCTCTAACAATAGCTATTTTAGTTCTACTCTCTAACCAATTGGTTAAAAAACTAGCACTGTCACTAAAACTATAACTTATAACGTTTCTATTACTTTCAATCACACTATTCATTTACACAGCATCTCCTACAGTACTGTTAATAAATAGTATGTATTCTATTGGGTGTTTTTTTACCCAGAGTGCATAGTGTCCGTGAGATCCTACTATACTTGTATGCTATACATACAACTGTATGTTTTATATGACTGCAGATGAGTCAAAGTTCAGTTAACGCTTTATGGATTTAGCAAAAATGCAGACAAAGTTGTACTTTGTACACATGCAACAGCTGATCGCTCATATGGGATCAAAGACCATTCTGATGATGATGTATTCACTCATTTGGGTGCATTCACACATATTAACTTCAGTCATTTTTGGTTACATAAAGTGTACATCCGTTTCAAAATGATCATACCCATGAAAGATGTGAAATTATACCAACCTCTTGGTTCCTGCAGACAGCAGGTGGAAAGGAGAAGAGGTATCCAGCCTTCACACCTTCCAGAGCTACCGATGGCTTCCCCGCAAAGTTATGAAGCAGAGCTCGACTGATACCTGACGGAAAAATCAGAAAAATTGGGACATCAAAATGTCTGTTTTGCAGCCATGTAAAAGTACATGACAGAATGAAGCGGGACACCCACCGTGTTCTCTCATTGTCGCTATTGTGACCTTAGCAGCTGATCGTGAGTGGACGTTTCTGTGCAGAAAACAGGAAGTACGAAGTGTCATCATCATCACGGCAGTCAGTGAGATTTGAAAGTAGAAATTGGGTGGATTTTAAGAAGTAATTTGTGAAATTTGGGGAGTATAATTTTTACTTTAATCTGTTATCATTATTTTGTTTTTCCACTCTATGCCTTTGTCCGATGGCCCGGTGGTGGCTTTAAGTTTTTTCCAGTGAGAAACATGCGACGGAGGTAAAATGCGAAGCACAAACGTGGCATTTATTGTCTTCCATACAGACAAGATGAGACACCAACCAGCAACAAACTTACAGTGAAAGCAACTAGCTACCTTATATACACTCCCTCCTGCAGGTAATTAAGTGGGTAAAAGTACTTAGGTATTTATATAAATACAAATTTCTATCAACAAATCAATCACATACACTCAAAATAATCACATAAATCAGCATTCTTGAGGTCCCCCGACTCAGCTTCAAGGTTTACTCCTGTTACTGTTACTCTTAAGCAGGTGCTTGGGCCTACCGCACTCTTTTGCCTCCGCCCCCTGCTGAGCAAGTACTACCATTGTTTGCTTTATCTGTTTAAACTAATTTGATAACTAACTGGAATGGAGTACAATCACTCAATACTATGTTGTGAACCTTGACTATTACTGATTGAGATTTCTTTACACACAGGCAGGATGGCCAAACCCCCCTGCGCCTCCCCAACCCCCCACTCGCAGCAAAGAAGGCCACCAAACATCTAAAAACTCAAATAAACAACAAAAACAAGAATGTGTATGGCTCCTGGCTTTATCAATAATCCCCACCTAAACACTCAGTTAACTATTTCAGGTACCCCTGGTCTCCATTACAGCCTCTCATGACACTCAGTCACTCACGCATCCCTTGTGGACAATGAGTGCTTGAAAATGACCATGTTTGCTGAGTGGTGGCAGCACATTTTCTAATCACGCGCTTCTATGCAAACAAGATTCAAATAAAGTCAAACCAAGCTCTTGGTTCAGCAGCAGGACAATCAATGAAAACGTACAACTGCAGGCTGTATCCAACTTGATGACTGAGCCTGTAGAGACTGCACTGTGGGACTTTTCATGTGTATGGTGTTTACGTGGCTACAGCTATCTTTTTTAGAAACTGAACCTCCTCTGTGTGCTGAATGTGATGATGACTTCAGCTGCTGCTGCCATTTATTCTTATTAACTATTGTGCTAAAATAAACCTATTGCATTTCACACACACACAAAGCAGCCACTGAAAAGGGCTCAGGTTAAAAAATTAATAAGAAGCACTGATGTATCAAAAGAATATTACAATGAACATAATCACTACATTTAAGTGGACTGAAATAGTTCGTATTCTAGTCTCGTGTGGTATATTGTCTTGAAGGATTTAATATCCAGCTACGGTTCAACTGTATATTATTCTCTTCTGTTGTGCTCACACAGGTAGGTCCAGCTCCTTGGCGATGTTGAGCTGTTTAATGAAGACATTCATCTGGTCATCTCGGTCCTGCTGAGTGGGAGCACACCACGGTGTGAAGTCTAAACCAATCTGGAAACAAAAGTAGACAACGCTATTACTCATCATATCTCACATTGTTAGCGTATCATAGGAGCCCTACTGTAGTTGTCATTTTCTTGTAAAATTCTTGTAAAGTTTTACCTTTATTAAACCGACAAGGTGTTCAAATGTTCCAGTACAGAAGAAGAAACTCAATTATCTTAGATTGTGGAAGATAAAGTTCAAGAATATGTTTTGTCTTTTTTAAAAGCTGAAACATGTTTTGTTAATTGCAAATCAAATGCAAGTCTTTAAAGGACCATTTGGGTATTTATAAACCTGGGCCTTATGTTCACATATTTTGGTGGCAAACCGGCTGCAGTGGCTGCAATGTTTTCCTTCGGGGGAATTACGCCTGTCAAAATCACATCCACAAAAAGTGCTTCTCTTTACCACCAACAGGCTCATACTGCGATACCAGTTGTCTGACAACATAATGGAAAGCATCCCTACGAGAAACTCCTGGTGACACCTTTTGACTAAGAAGTCTCGCTCAAGGATTCTTCTCACTCTGAAATCTGGTGCCTGAAATGGCTGCCAACTGAAGCCATCTGGTGTACAGCTAGTGTACGCAACTTTTTGATCATTAAAATGTGAAAATTTTGCTTTAAAATGTGTATTTGTATAAAACTAAGACCAGGCCCTTCCAATAACAATTAAAAAGGCATGGTAAGCTATCCAACGGCTAGTGCTGTCTTTATTTTTGATTTTGTTGGATCATTTTTATTTTATTTTTAAAAGGTCAGAACTTCAGACTTTAATGTTTTTACTTTCTAGCCTTGTGTCAAATCAAGACTTTTGGTGTCACGTTTCAGAAGTTAAGTTCCACTTAAGTGAAGTCAGTTTTATTATGTAGCCCAAAATCACAAATTTGCCTCAAAGGTCTTTACAATCTGTCAAGTCTGAAGTCGTCATTTTATGACAGACATTTGACTGAAGTCCAAGTCTCGAGTCTACTGCTCAGTTTAGGAGGAAAGAGAACTTGTCAGAACATTTGCAGGTAAAATGCATGTGAAAAAAAGTGGTTATAGAGTCATACATTAATTAAAATGTGTCACTTCCAATGTGCGGAGCATGGGGTGGACCTCGCCGTGCTTGCAACCTGATAACAGTTATGGAAACAGGAGTGTGGGATTGTTGACTTAGACCCTGGTGCCTGAAATCTGCTCGGGCAAACACACACATTCCCCAACACGGGGATCTACAGCATTAGAGAGGTGTGTGATTGTGTAAGCGCATGACTGTGACTGTGTTCATTAACTTTTCCTAATAAGAAAGATTAGTAAGTATGTAAGTAAAGTGAATATTGTACCTTTCACAGAGCAAGGTCACAAAGTGCTTTACAGGAGAAAAATATTAGAAGACAATGGAAATAGTAAAGAAACAACAATAAAACATAAACCGGAAGAAATTAGGTTGGCAAAGTAAGAAGCCCTCACATCCTTAATTGTGTTGCTAAACTCTGTTAAAAAGGACTTCGTAATAAATTGTGAAGCTTTTATGACATTTACGCCGGAAACAACAAATGGTGTCATTTGGGACGAGCGTGCTCGAGTCAAAAGCTGCCGAAAACTTCTCAGCTGAGAAGCAATTTGAAAACAATTTACATGTTTATTGGGCACATAATCTAAATTAAAAAACAGGTTGAACAAAACACTTTTGTGGTCAGTAACATGCAGCTGCTCAGAACAAATGCAGTCAACATTTAAAACAAAAAATTATGTCCATGGTATGAACCCTAATGTCACGGTTTTGGTCTGAGGGCCTGTTTTTTTGGGTCTGTGTGTTTCAGCTTGTTTCCTGTTTAGTTTGAAATTGTCTTGTAGAAAGTAAAGCAGATACTAATTTGAAATAGGTTGGTAGAGGTTTGAAAAAGGCTTAGTTAAAGAGTGGCATATGGAGGCAGATGGACTAAAGTTAGTTAAGGTCAGGGTAAGCGGCTAGGTAATGTCTTATGTCAGTGTTGGTCCAACTGGTATATAGTACAAACTTGTGTGAGTATGTATGCGAGTAGTCTACCTCTCCTATAGCGATGAGGCGTTCTCTGTGTTTGTAGAACTGTGGCAAGGCGGCATCCAGGTCCTGTGGAAAATACATCTCCATTAAGAGCTGCAAGATAGATTTAGTTTAATTTAAACACCGCCACTGTAACCCCACAGTAGTTATTTAACCATCAACATATGACAGGTATGTAGAAAGTTCATCACAGAGGGTCTGGAGAGGGTCAGATTTGCACATTACTTTAATGTTAACTTCAAACAAGCTGATCGACTTTCTGATTTTACCACTTTAGATTAGATTAGGCATTAGATTTCCACCAGTGTCTATAACCTGTGTCATTGCCGGCTGAAGCCATCTACTGCACCGATTCCTAAACTTTTTTTTTTGTCATTTCAACCCAAAAATATATAAAAATAGGATACAGTTTGAAAAATACTAAAATTACTCTTTAAAAAGAACGTATATCATTTTACTAGTGAGGAACTTTGGCCTTATGGGAAATGACCTATCAGCAAGATAAAAGACATTATTATAACAAAGCTTTCTATTGTTGTACCTAAGTTACTGTATAAGAAATGTTGTATACATTTTTGTACTTTCAATACCACTTTCTAGAAGAAATAAACACACCTTCATCTAGGCCTCAGAAACATACCCTCCCTCGCTCTGTCTCATAGATGAGTTACACTACACACTGCACATTTTCTCCGAATCTGTCAAGTAAAACAATGGATGAGGTGCAGAATGTTTTGCTACCTGAGGTTTCACGCTGCGCTGCTCGGGGCCCCCGTCGCCCTGCAGCGGATGGATACCAAAACACGGAGCAACAACATCTGGATAACTGTGAGAAAATAATTTGACAGGAACATCCTGAACAATAAACACAATGCTATCCAGCTGACAGCAGATGTATGGGACAATGTAAACAGTTTTATTCTTTACAATGTGTAACTTTGACTTCAGTGAGCACGTATATTTACACAAGATCTGAAAGTTACTGTTACCCTGGCGTTGATCTGCAAAACATATAACAGACTACAAAAATACAAAATAACATGTTTATGTATATGGGGTCGGTGGATCACACAGAAAATGTGTGCATTATACATGAATATCTGTTTTTGAAATTTACCTTAAACACATATTTTTTTATTCATTTTTGATGAATTAATTATTTGAATCATTTATTGTGGTAATTTATTTGAATTTGCACAAATCTGTAATTCGAATTTCTTCCCCCTGATTTTATTTCATTATCATTTCAAAACTTCCCCTTTATATTATCAAAATGTGTTTTTAAAAGAAACAAAATCTTTTTTTTTTTTATTTACTAAATCAGTCCTTCCTGCTTTAATACAGTATGTTCTAGGAGTGACTATATAACATAGAGGACATACAGACCGCTCCTGCAGCTGCAGAACTCTGGCAAACTCTCCGACTTCTTCTGTAACTGCAACCAGAGTCTTTACCCCAGCCTACACACACACACACACACACACAGCTCTTTTCCTTCAGAGATTAATAACATCAGTCTTACCACATACATCATTATTAAACAATCTATTTGAGTAACAATAACAAACACCAATCAGCCATAACATCATGACCACTGACAGGGGAAGGTGATTATCTCAGTGCCAAGGCAGCTGTCAGTGGGTGGGATATATTATGGAACAAATGAACCCTGTGTCCTCATAGTTCATTTGATAGAAGTAGGAAACACGTGACTTTGACAAGGGCCAAATTGTGATGGCTAGACGACTGGGTCAGAGCATCTCCAAACCGGTCTGCAGTGATCAGCACCTATTAGAAGGATGGAAAGCCGGTGAACCGGAGACAGGGCCATGGATGGCCAAGGCTCACTGATGCATGTGGGGAGCGAAAGCTGGCCCACGCGGTCCGATCCAAACAGACAAGCTACTGTAGGTCAAACTGCTGAAAAAATTGATGCTGGTTCTGATAGAAAGGTGTCAAAACATACAGTGCATTCACAGTGGAGTCCACGCCTCAACGGGCCATGGCTGTTTTGGTGGTCATAATGTTATGGGTGATCGGTAAATATTTACAACTGTGTGGTTTTCAGCCATATTGCTCAGTTATACTATAGAGTCTGTAAATCATAAGGTTTAGCCAGCAGCAAACTTAAATTCCCTTTAACATTATCTGTTCCTTTCAGACTGCTTTCATAAAGTTACTGAATAGAAGTGTGTTCTTTGTGAACTGCCATTGTGTTGTACATATTCTGATTACTCACCTCTGTGGTCCTCTGGATCACATCCCTCAGATCCTACAAATAAAAAAATACCGTTTATTTATATGTTTGTTTGTAAACTGATAAGACACAAGTGAAATAATCAAAAACTGAAAAACAGGATAACTAACAACTGCAATTAGACTGTAAATGATAGCATTGAGTGTAACCTTAAGTTAATTTACTTACATACAGATTTTATAATTTAAAAAAGGACTATTGGTGATTTACACAGTTTAACTTCCAAGTAGACTAAGTTACAACTGGTGTAACGTTAACAGTTAACTTTACTGTTAAAAAGGGTGAAATACATATTGTTTAGTTACGTTACTTACTGCCTACCTCTTCAAACTCACGGGCTGCTATATGACAGTGACAGTCAACGAAGCCATGCTCCATTAAAAATTCAAAAAATAAGCGCAAACTATTTTTAAAGCTGCACCATTTAGCAATTTTTAGCAATCTTCCGGTGCTTGGCTAACACAGCTAAGCGGAACACGATGCCGGAGTTGTTCCGGGGCTAACATTGGCAGTCGGACCAGGAAGCTTCACATTTAAATTCCGGTTTGAGTCAAAAAATTATAAACACAGTTGGCGGTAAAGATGGAGCATGTAGAGAGTGAACCCTTACCCAGCGATGAAACAAATCAGGAATACAGAGTCCAAGTAACGTCGAAGAAAGAAGTAATCATGCAAATAAATAAATACAAAGATATTTTGAAGACAGCTCTCGACGGACAGCCGGAAGTTGCAGAGGAGACGAAGCAAGTTTTACTGCAGGAGCTGCTGGCGGTGGGTCTGATTGTTCGCATCTTGTTGTCATCTTATTAACTGTTATCAAACTATTCGAGTAGCAGTAGACCGACGAGTGTTGTTTTAGCAAGACTTTCTTTACGTTACGACAACTGCGCAAAGTTCTGTCGTTTCTCTGTGCGACAAAGAGAATCCCACACCGAACCCAATGCGAAAAATCTTGTATTTAATGTTTACGTTGCTGTCAACATACACACACGCCAGCAAAAACACAATTAAAGGCAATTAAAACATTTATTAGGATCAATAGATGATTTCGGCTTAAAGGTGATAGATGCAGCACTTTATTTGACAACAGTCTCTACTTTGAATTTCCGGCAAACCAGTTGATTTGTTTAGGTAAAAACGCATCAGTTAAAATCTACCTAATAAGAGATTTAGTTTTATCGTTATGTTCCTGTTTGGTTTCCTGATCGCATGTCGTATTGAGGTTAAGAGGTTATACTAGAAGCTGGCATTTTATATGTGAAGACAAGAAAACTAGATTAACAAAGGTATCAAATGAGTTTCATTGTCCCTCTGTAATGCCTGGAAGAAACATCCTTTCACCACAAAACACAATAAGAAGTATTAAGATAGAAAACATGATGTGTCCCACAAGCATGAAAGTAGAATACATAACTGGTAGTACAACAGTTGTTTTACAGTTAACCAAGCAGCACACTAAACTCAGACAGCTAGTATAATGGCTTGCCTAATCAACACTAAACACTCACATTACAAACAACACATTAAAATAGCTGTAAGAAACTGAGTTCCTACATTGTGAACAGTTTAAAGTTTAGTTGATATAATTACTTCAAAGTTTGAGTTTTGAAAATGTAAAACCAAATGAGTGAAGTTCACTGATCTTGAGAAAAGAAGTTCAATAATTGTAAGATATTAATTTTTATCAACAACCATTCAGTCAGTCAACAGACAAACTAGCTTCCCATTTCCATTTCCTGTGTTTCTCAGAGTCACTTATACCTGCTCCAGCAGCTGCTCCTGTTGAAGAAATTTACTCTCCTTCATGCACGTTTTCTTTAAACTACTAAAAAGAGGGTCTTTAGAGAGTTTTAACCCTCAAACAATGCATGTTAGGAAGACTGCTAATTAACTTATCATGTTTCTGTAGGCACGTTTACATTAGAGATCTACTGTAGCTCTTTATTACCAGCATGTCTCTAAGGTCCTCTGATCATGGTGTGTGGCTCCTAAACTTTGTAGCTCTCTCCCTTTGGACTTTAGATCTGTTGACACCTTTTAAAAAAGCAGCTCAAGACCCACATATTTAGACAAGCCTTAATATAATTTTCTATTTACTCTTATTTTTTATTTATCTCTATTTTATGGTGATTTATTCTTCCCGAAGTCTTTGTTTATGTCTGTATCGGCTGCTTTATTTCTTTTATGAAGCACATTGTGACGTTCTGCTCTTGAAATGTGCTCTTTAAATAAAGTTACTTACTTACTTACTTACTTAATTACTTAATTACTTAAATTAACATGTTCAATTCCAAACAGCAAAAGTAGTAGTGGTACAGAAAAGTACTACTTCTAGACTACTAATAATAATTGTAGCAGCGGGTTTTGAGCAGGAATATGGGGGCAACAGGCGATTTGCAACCACAGATCCAGACTCCAGTTAAAATACCGCAGCTTTTACATGGAATAAATTAATAAAACTTATTATATTAACAGCAATTTTTTATGATTTCTTGATTCTGCAGAATTCCTGAATGATGTTTTTGCACTGTACAGATAGATAATGGTGCATCCAAGGCTTGGGGAGTAGATAAAAGATGGCTGTCGATATTTACTGGGTCGCATATCTGACAAATGTCACAATAATGTATTAGTGTCAGTTAAACAACTTTGCCAATCTGTAACTATTTTGATAATCAATTAATTGAGCAGGTTGTTTGTTTGTATTTAACAAAACCGCCAAATGTTCTTTAATTCCAACCTTTTAGTTGTGTGAATGTGCTGTTTTTCTTTGTCTGATGTTAACCGGAATATCTCAAAACAAAATATTGATTGGAGAAAATGATCCCAATTTGCATCAATTAAAAAAACAATAATGCTTAGTTGAAGGCCGAGAAACAATGCAGCTGTATTATGGACACCTTGTTTGATGTGAACTGAACTCTGTTTGTATGTGCACAGAACTTTGAGGCGGCTGTTCAGGACAACGTGTTGGTGAACGGACAGTCTTGGGAGGCGGCTCCTGACGTTGAAGGTGCCACTTAAATCCGTAACCAGCAAAACATGTTGTCATAAATTCATGTTGTGTAAAATAAAGCTTAAGTTTCTCGTCCTTCCACCACTTACACACTCAGCAGAGGATGAGGCTGTTGATCTGGAAAGCCAGCTGGATGACACCATTGTTGGTACCACCAGGAGGCGTAGTACTTACCCAAGAAAGATCCTGCCTCACGTGGTTCAGTCCCTCAAAGCTGAACGTAAACTCATGGTGGGTGTCACAGTATCTTTGTCTGTGTTTATGTCTGATAATGTGCAGTAAAGTGTGTGGGTGGTCTCTGTTTCACACAGCTGAGTGGGAGGAAAACTGCCCTTTACCACAACATAATTTCACAGGTTGATGTTGAGACAAATGACTGATCAAGTTTACACACATTGTGAGTTAATATTTAGATAAAACGGAAAATAAAATAATATGAATTACACAATGCTGAGTGACAAAAACCTATATATGTATTTGATCAATACAGGCTTAATTATCACTGAAAGGAAACCCAGAGCTGATGTGTCCACTTTTCTGACATCTGCGGTTTGTTTTTCAGGGGCTGTACGAGCTTGCACTCAAACCTCAAGAGGTGGTTAAAGATCCCGATCAAGGTTGTTACCTCTAATCATTTATACACACACATTTTTAATTTCAGTGTTCTCTGGTGTTCGGAAAAGATACTCGAGGACAAACATATTTGAGAGTTAAATGTTCTAGCAGTGATGTCTTTGATCTGTTGACGTTATCTAACTATTGTCACTATTATATATAAAATAGTTTACACTTTATTTCTGGAGCTCCAATCAGAAAATATTGTGCACGCATCAATAAGTTCACCTTGTCAGTGTCAGGAGACTATGGAGCCAAGGTTGTGGATAAAAATGTAGCCCCTGTCTGTGGATACATCATAATGTGGTTTATCTGCAGAGTGTCATTGGGAGTTTGTGTATGTGTAATACTTCACCTTTTGTGCGAGTGCATGTGCATCTTGTTTATAGTCCGTTGTCTTTTTTTAAGCACTGTACAACTTGAGCCATTTGTTTCGAAAATGGGTTCATTACTCAAGGCTTCAGTTACAGTGGCCTCTTGTGGCAAGGCTGAAGTCAAATTAGGCAAGCTAGTTGGTGGACAAGGAGGCTTATATTTACATATATACTACATGCACGCACGCACGCACGCACCTCAATGAGCAGTGTTGGAGAAATTAGTTTACTTTTCTAGAAGAGACCTTCAGCTGTGAAGAATCTTTGCTTTGATCGCCCTTGGATTTAAAGTATCTTTGGAAATTCTTTGCTGCACACACATTAAGACTGAATATCATGTTGTATTTAAAGGGGACCTATTATGCTTTTTCATATTTTCTGGCATTTCTATAATTTTACATGTTAGATGTTCATGTTAAACATGACAAAAGCTTCAAATAATAATAATAATAATAATAAAGTCTTTAAAAGAAATCCCTGTTAGCCAAAACCTCAGATATCCCCGTGTTCTGAATGTTCTGTTTTAAACTGTTTTTTTCTACTAAAATCTCGGTATGATGTCTGTCTGTCAGAGAAGACAGTGGGCTTTGGAGGGGGGAGGGCTTAAAGAGACAGGAACATCTGGAGCTTGTTTTAGATCGAGGCTGAAATGAGGGCCTGAATGATGAGCCATTATAAGATAGAAAATGCCTTCTTTTTTTTTTTTACTTTGAATCATGCAAAACTGCCACAGAGGAGTCACAGAACTACAATATAGGACTGGAAATGCAGTATAATAGGTCTCCTTTAAATAATATAACCAAAAAATTATAATTGATGATTGTGTGTTGTGTAATTAAGCAGCGAGTACTGCGAAAATATGGCATAGGTTGGGTGTACTTTTGTAACAATGGCAAGGAGTAATTGCGTGGGATGGGGTGCCAATGAATCACCTGATTGGTTCGCGGTCCAATCAGGTGATTCGTTCAGGAAATGAAGCAGTTGCTGCTTTGGACGTCATAAGTCACGTGATTTTTGAACATAGAACCACTGATTTTTGTGTTGTGCGGTGGTTCTGTGTTCAGGGTATGACGCACATATCGAAGTGTAACAATTCTGTTCTTCTGTGTGTGTTTCACCAGAGAGCATCATGAACGATTTGTCAGCAGCAGCTCCTGGGATGGTGAAACAGGCCATCCAGGTCATAAAGGTAACGCACACTTTAACGCACCAGGCCTGCGTTGGCTACTGCAAATATACATTATATAGATGGATTTATATATGCTTTACCGACACAGGTTTTTTTTTTTTTTTTTCTTCTGTAGTCAATCAACACTCTGCAGAAACAAGCTGAAGGCCTCTGTGAGGTCCTCAACATGAAGCCGAGTCACGCCACTCTGGAGATCCACAGAGAAGTGTTTGGTGTTAACGGCCAATCAGACGCTCCCTTGCCTCCTGTGACTGGAGCTACGAGGAGCAGGCAGCCGATCAAGAGAGCCGTAGAGGAAGCAGCAGCCACAGACTGCTATGTGTCGCCTAAGAAGAAACCTGTTGGAGAGGACACGCCAGAATGAGCCCTCCTCCAGCCAATACCACCAGAATAATTAAGATGGTGTGATATTATGGACTAATGTGGTTTTTTTTCTGCACAGTTTTGTTTCTCAGCTCTTTAAAAGAATATAACCCAGTGGTTGCATATGAAATGACTCTTGAGGTTTATTAATTTTCAACATAGGGAAAGAGTTTTTCTTTCAATACTATGACATTAATATGATTCCCTATACATTCCAAACCACAAGAGAGAAGACAGAGTTTCTGCTGAAAGAAATAATCCACTACAGTGAAGTCCAAACAGATGTTTCAGGGAAATGTGGAACAGGGTTACGTCTGAGATAGGTTCTCCAACTGACGAGCGGACACAAAACTGGTTGCTTGAGCTTCCATTTGCGTGGTTTTTTTCTGTGGTGTGCAGCAACCCCCTTCTTTCTTTTTGATTCTCTTCATATTGCATTCACCAGCAGCCGACTGAATTACACCACTGGGCAGGTGAGGATTTTTCTTATTGCACACACCAGTGTGTCACAGTTAATGTGAATGTAATTTGCCCTTGAAATCGCAGAGAGTTTCGCAATTGATAACGCCATCTGAATTAAGTAATAATCTTTAGTGCCAAACTGAATCAGATGAAGTCATAAAAAAGACAATTGAATCCTGTTCTTATCCGGCTCATATTTACTTTATTTGTACTTTATGACAGCTTAAATGTCTTTTTAAATATTTAAAGATATCCTGTTGGTTTATGTTTGTTTCTGTATGGTTACTTTAAAAACATTTACTGGTACATTAAAGTTGTTGTTTTTTACAACATGCACACTGTTATGTACCCCTTTTTAAAGAATGAGTCTGGCAGTCTATAATTTCGTTTGTCCATCTCTCAACAATGTCTGACCTGTCTGCATGTCTCTGCCCCAAGCCCATTTGTACCTACTCAAAATGTTGCTCAAACAGGAGGAAGTAGTGCATTTGTTGGGGACTATTTTTAGCCATGGATTAATACACAGTTGCTTTATAACTACAGCAGCAGGATGGTGTATTTGGTATTCAGTCAGAATAAACTAAAGTGCCCTGTGATCAGCGTAATGAAGGAATATGTCGCCCAGTTAAACGATGTGCATCAATGTGTTGATGACCGAAACCATAAATGTTCTGGTCAACTGTGGCCCCTCAGTCATGTGACTTATGTGAATTGCCCTCCCTGCTTCTTCTAAAACAGCAGTGAAATTGAAAAGTGAAAAGAAAGCTGAAGTGAAACCGCAGCCTGTTTTCTGTCTGGTTTGTTTTCAGTGGACTGTGCCCAGTTCACAAATAACGCTTTATTTTCAGACGGAGACAAGTGTCTCCTGTTTTTCTCTCTTTAATGCACGCTTTAAAAAATCTGTGATGTCAGACTGTGATTCTTCCTGCCATCATCAGAACAACAGCACGAATAACCACCTCTGTGAAGGATGTGAGGTAAGATCGCACTAACATGCTCTTATTACAACTTTAATGTGTTATCATCAGGGAAATGCTTGCTCCTAATGCAGCCTGCTCCCTGTCGCAGAGGGAGGTCAGATATCAAGAGATGAGAGGTTTAAAGCAACATCTTCTGGTGATCTTTTTTAGTAACGCTAGGGCTCATAATCAAGTAGGGTTTGTGTCTGACAAAGAGGAGTATGTTGACAAAGTGTTGTGTGTGTCTGCGCAGATTTAATATGAATGCATTGCTGCCAAATGAAAATGATATCTGGTTGCAATAAAGCATACAAAACATGTTTTAAAATATATTGGTCTAAGGTTAAACTACAGACGTGTGACTTGGCGAGTGGATGGATAGAAGACTGAATTTATCTGTTGTCTAAGGGTTCAGAAGATGGAGGCAGGAGGCTGAAGAGGAGAGAGAAGAACAGAGTTGCAGCCCAGAAGAGCCGGAAGAGGCAAACACAGAGAGCGGACCTTCTGCATGAGGTGTGTGCGTGAGCATGCTCGTGTACTTCCACCTTTGTAAGGACTAATTGCAGACCTTTTTCTGTTCCTCACTGCCAGACAAAGACTGTTTATTAGGGTTAAGGTCAGAATTAGGTTTAGGTTAAAAATACTACTACTTGTATGTATTGTCATAAATTGTGGGTTGTCAAAGGAGATATTTTACAGTTTTTCACAATTGCTAAGATGTTTAAGATGTTCCATCCATTTTCTCAAAACTTTTAACACAAAACCTAATCTTTAAACCACATTCACAAAACCCCTGACTCTTCTGGCAAAATCAAACAATCCACTCAAAACCAAGTAATTTATGTGCAAAATCAAACAATGCTTTCAAAACATAACACAGCCAGTCAATATGAAAAACTCTACAGAGCATTCTTTAGACACTATATCAAAAAAATTGAGAACACAGCATCCAGGGCATGTAGTTACAGAAAATGTTTTTTTGCATATAGGAACCACATAGAACCTATTTTAAAAAAGTATAGTAATCACAACCAAGTAATACAGTATTGATTATCTGTATATTCAGCATTTGCATATAAATACTACTGTACTGTAAGCCCAAAGAACAAAGAAAACTCTTCTTTTTTTTAAAGCAGGGCTCATTTTGTCAAAACACTACACACAATTCACACAACTATTCACACAAGTAGCAGAACAACTCAGATAGTTTGCAAAATGAAACACTTCATTCAAAAATATACAAGAATTTATAAAAACCCGATTTTGTCACAGTGTAGCACAGACACAGTTCAAGTGATCTCATTCTGTTTGAACCAGTTAAACACTGCTATGCTCAATCTAAAACACACTTAAAATTCCTACTTTTTAAATGAAATAGTCTGGATCTGACTTTTCAGATAGTATTGGATATATTGACTAAACACAGCACACACAGTACTGCATACTGATATGATTTATTTTCAGCAAAACCATTTGTGGAAAGCATGAACAAGAAGGTGTGGCATTCTAGACGGCAATGTCTTGACATCGCAAAGACGAGACTTTGTGTTAGATTTTTGTGTCTGAAGTAGCCTGCGTGTGTTTAGTATTTTGCAAATCACTGTGTCTAGTGTTTTGCAAAAGGTGTGAGGCTGAGAATGTGCTTATAGTTGTGCAGATCTGGGCTGTAGTTTTACTCCCTGAGTGTAAGGTTTCACTGACAGTGTGTTATATAATATTTTAGTGTGTAAGCAATTGTAAAAAAAAAAAACTGTAATGCACAGCACATTACAAAAGTCAAGTCAATCACGTCTTTGTGCTTGATCTGGCCAGAAGACTTCGTCCACATCACATGCAACCTTGTCCCTTGCCAAGCAAAGGAGGAAAACCCTCTGATCTCTCTCTGCTGGATGCAGCCTTACTGTAACAACACTCCACACCTATCTCACCACAGGCCAATTCCATTGCCCGTAAGAGATTTTCGTAGTAAATGAATTTCGGTCATAGTCCTTCCACCACCTGGCAGATAAAAAATCCTTTATCGGATTTAAGTAAGAGCTGTATGGTTGAAGGTGAACATTTATAAATCACTGGTTGGTGGTTGATGTTGAACCGCTTGCTTAGTGAAAGCACAGTGAAAGCTGATGATCCTTCTGCTCACGCTCAAACACAATATACCAAAGACCACCCAGAAAAGTAAGAAGATGTTCAGTGTTACATGGCCCCAAGGTTGAATGACAGTAGAGAACCTGTCCCTTACTTATAGCCTGGTCAAAGGGTGACATTGCCACTACGCTGGCCAGGGACTTGCCCGCATATTGGTTTGATCACATCGTTAGAAACAAGTGAGCAGAATTATGAGTTGTTGTGTGTAAAAGATGACTGTGTTGTAGTTTTGTTTAACTTTTGCCGTATTTATTTACCATTTTGCAAGACAAGTGCATCACAGTGCAAAATAAGTTTTAATGAGTGAGAATGTGTTTAGAGTTTTGCCAAAAGAGTGACTGATTCTACAAATGGGTTTAGGCCACTGAGCATTTGGTTCAGAGAATGGGGTTGTATTGTATTGGTCGGGCTACACCTCAACCACAATGCGAGATAACCCGGATGATATTATATGGGATTATTTTCTCAAACTAAGAACCTCTGCAGAGACACAGAAGACACTTTGCAAGTGTTTTCGCTGTCCACATGTCCCCAAGTGCATATGTCACAAGTATATCTGCACTAAATATAAAATTCAACTCTCTAAAACGTACATTCACTCATCATTTCCACCTCTTCATGTTCTCTTCGTCTCTTCTCCCTTTCTTTCTCCTCTCCTCTCTTCCAGGCCTGTGAGCTTTTGGAGCAGAGGAACAGAAAGCTGAGGAGAGAGGTATCTATAATATGCGCTGTACTAAAAGCATTCATCATGGATGTTATTTCTTTGTGCTATAATTAGATTACGTCGCCATGTTCTTGCTGTGTGTGCTTCTGCAGTCACCACTCTCTGCTTCATTAGTGTAGCCTACACTTTATCTATAAGGATACACAACAAATCTCTACTTTATCTATGAACAAGCATTAAAACAGCAGTTAAAAACATAAGAAAGAGGCAAAGACAATCAAGTATAGACAACGATTACAACAAATAAGTAAATCTCTGCTTGTTTTTTTTGTCTGCAGGTGGATTCTCTGTCTGAGGAGCAGCGTCTGCTGACCGAGGCTCTCAGGACCCATGAGCCCTTCTGTACCGTCATGCACTGCTCCTTTGCCTCCTCCACCTCGTGCAGCCTGCAGCCTGACGTCATGGCAGCCCGGTCCGTCTGAAGCGAGCGATATCTGTTTCTGATCAGTGATCAAAGTAACTTGTTGTCTGAAGCCATAGCCATAGTGTAACACACCAGTGAACCACTAGAGGGCGCTGTTCACCACAATCAGAGACAAAGTGGTGATTCAACTGGTGTGAGGTGCTGCTGAACTCTGGTGGCAGTCACAGGGAAGAGTGTCATCTGGTGGTTGCTCATGTCATTACTCATACACGTTTGACTCAACACAAGAGGATTAGGAGGTTAAAAGAGTCAAACATTAAGTTCAAACTGTTGAATGTTATTCTCCATCTACTAGTCCTGTTATTCTATTAAGTTTTTCTGTGCTGTAGGCTATGAGTGCATGACTTTCATTCTAGTCAAAAATGTAACAAAGAACCAAATACATACATTAAAATAAAACCAAAGTCAATCAATTTGTGTGATGTTATCATCTTTATATGTTTAAATTGCCTTACACGTTTTCCTATTGTGCAAATAAACCTTTCTCGAGGTTTGTTCTTGTTGCAAGCTATTTAACAAATGCTTTCAAAAAGTGATGGGGACAAAATCATCCATTTCAAAAAGCGTCCCCAGTGTAAACGACACCTATGCTACTCACAACGAATAAGTAAACAAGTTGAGGGAATTAAGTACCATTTGTTTACAAGAAACAAAATGATTCTTACGCATACTGGAACATATAAGTGGTTTCCACCCATTACACATTTTCATTCTTCCCTTGTGGAAAAAGTACAACAGAATCACTACAGAAAACAAGTTTATGTAGGTGTGACTGTAAAGTGATATATAGAAATGTGTTGTTCATTATTCATAAATTTGATATGTAGATTTCCATAAGAAAAACTGCAGTGTTGACTGAAGAGCAATAGCAACAAAGAGGAGACTTTTGCGTGCCGGACGTATTTGCTTACTTCCTTTGTAAAGGGTCTACAAATTGTGAGTATATTATTGTTAATAAATAATGTATTTATTTATAATAAATCATTCATAAGCCATTAAGAACATTTGCGTTTCCAGATTGTAAAACATCCGGTAGACTAGATGATTTATCATAAACGAGAAACCCATCAGCCTTTACTAAGCTTGTAAATCTTCACTTAGGTTGGTTTGAAGTTTCAAAAACTATTTCACTGTATCAAAAACAACCCCAAAAAACATTTATACACATTTCCATGAGATTCAGCCTAACATATGTATATATCTGTATGAAAACTGTGGAAGTTCTTTTAAAATCCAAAATAAATGTATGTGAATTTGAACTGTTTGCTGCTCAGCATACATTTGTAAGATGACCTGGTCACTGTCTTTGAGATGTTAATGAAATGCAGACCTTATTTAATTAAATATAATAAAAATTATTCTTATATTGCCAATTCGTAACAGAATCTTGTTGCACTTTTCATTTGGAGCATAATCTTATTAATATTATTGCTGGTTAAGTAGAAAATTCATCACTAATAAGAGGTTTTCTCTGAATCTACACCACTTATGGAAGTAATTGCTGTCAAAGTCAGACTCTGTTTTTTTGCCAAGTATGTTTTCACGTACAAAGGATTTGCTTTGGTATTTTGGTGGATAAGAGAAAGGGGAAAAAAGTACTCCAATGCCAAGAATCATATATGTAAAACATGTATCATAGCATATTGCATAAAGTCTTTCTACAAAAACCAAAGTGAGTAAGTCAGCATTGTGGTAAGTGATGTATAACTTCAAAAAAAATAAAAAAGTGTCCTGGGATTTGTCCGCCAACAAATGAAGGTCTTCTGGAATATTACATCATTTTACTGAAGATTTTGAGGTCATTTCCAGCCACAGACACGTCAGAGTGGATCTATAGGCTGTTCACCTGCATCAGAATAGAAACTTGTGGTTTGGTTACGTTGGAGGACACTCAGTGAATGTAACAGTTCCCTTATTTGACCGCAGTCGCATCAAACGTAATTGCCACAGGGTTTCTCTTTAAATGTTTCCTTCCTTATCCATGTTAAAGTGAATGAAAAGTTGATCTGTATGCAAAAGATGCTGACGCAAACCAACTGTGGCGAAGTGGAACTGAACCATTTCACCGCTGCTGGACAGACAGTTATTCTTCCAAAGCCCTTTTATAGGTTCTTGCAAGACATTTTAGAGGAACAATAATAGATGTGTGGCGTAGGAATGAGACATGGTGGAAGACATAGTGGCTGCATGGAAATCCTGCTGTAACTACTAATAAACAAATGAATAATAGTTTTTCAAATTAAATAATAATAATAAAACAAGTGCTACATGTGATGCAGAAAATCACTTCTTGTCCAAATTAGTGCATACTTTTAAATAAATGTTTTGGGGAAACAGCAAAAGAAAAAAACAGCACACAAAGAGATTCTTAATTATAACAATATAAAGCTAATTGTGCTTTGTTGCTGAGTAACACAGTTTAGTGCTGTGGATGAACTGGACTTGCCTACTCAGAGCCCTGACCTCATCTTCATCCAGCACCTTTGGAATGAACTGGAACACCTGATCACTCAACATCAGAGGCAAAGCCCTGCAGCAAGTTCAACATCTGGTGGAAAGACTGAAACCAGCAGAGTGGAGGCTGTTAGCTGTTAGCAGCTGTATGTTGTTACCCGACTTTGTGCTTCTCATGTATTAACATCACTTTCAAGTCACAAAGCCAATCAGACGTTTCTCAGAAAGATAAACATTCCTGGCTCGGTTCCAGCCAGAGACCCTTGATGCATGTCGTACTCTCTCCCATACTGTATTTCATGTCTCTACCTACATGGTAAACTGTCTAATAAAGGCACTGTCTCTAAAAAGATATATATTGTACCTGGCAATGTTTGAAAACCCCAGAAAGCTCTCAAACAAACCGAACTGCTGTTCTGAAGGTCTTTCCAGAATCCAGAAGACTTCTAACCTTCTGAATGACGTCACCTGTTACTTAATGTGCACCTGGTATGCAGGAAAAATGTAATCACGAGAAAGAAAAGGTTAAAATACTCGTAAAAGTGTCAGCACTGAGTTTGTCAGAGTCACACTGTTTATTTGAGATGAAATGTTGTGTCTCTAATAAACATTTGGATTAATAAATATTCCGTCCATTTTTCCCTTTCCCAAGTTGCGTAGATGACATACTGTATTTACTTTCTCAACTTGTACATGTTTTGAAAATAGCAGTGTCTTCTCATGTGGCATAACACAGAAACAAAAGCTAAACTAAACTGTACAAAATGAACTTTTTTTTAGTTTTATAATCAGTTAAATGTGGCTGTATTAAAGTTACTTTATTTTGTATTTTCATATGTAAAACATTGTTCATCTTGTGTTGTACCAAACAAGCAATACATTATGTAATTCCAGACTCCCTGGATTAGGAGTTACAAATTGGGAAACCAAGAGCTTTTTAAAATTCTGGAAATATTTTGGACCATCAGTAAGTTTTGTTAGAGGGCTTTCTTTGTTTTTCAAAGATCATCTGGTATTTACACTGAGATGTTCATCAATCACATATGGGTGAGCAGCTGATGGGTGGGGCTTTACATCACAGGTGAAGTGTCAAACTCCACCCACATGGTTCTCCAAGCAGAATTAAACAAACGCAGAGCATTTGGAAATAGTACTCGGTTTTGCTTGTTCAACCGCCCAGACTTCCGGAGGAAACTGGCAGTGCAGTCACTGTGGAACTGAGCTCAGATCAGTTTCTAAATAAGCTCCAAAATCACCACGCTCACAACAACACTGGTCGCCTAGCAAGCCAGGAAATACTATATAGTTCTTGGCAGGTTTTACAGAGGAGCAATAGAAAGCATCCTGATTTGATATTGGTGAGGTGCCTGCAGAGCCCGAAGGATACTAAAGGACAGTACCCACCCAGCCACAGCCTGATCACCCTGATGCCTTCTGGGAAGAGATATAGAAGTTTCTGCTGCTGCACCACCAGACTGCAGAGCAGCTTTTTCCCCTAAGCTATCAAACTTTTAAACTCTAATTCATCCTCAGCACTGCTCCAGTGATGGTAATTTATTTCTGTTTGCCATTTTTCATAATTGATTCTTTATTAATGTATAAGATAAGATAAGAAAACTTTATTGTCTGTCACAAGTGACAGAAATTTGTCTTTGACAAGACAGGCTCAAAAGACATAAAAACACATATAAATAAAACATAGATACACTGAAGACAATTTAGCCACATTATTTGTACAGACATGTGCAGAATACAAAACTGTGATATGTTCTATATGTGATTGTTATATATATATATATATATATATATATATATATATATATGTGTGTGTGTGTGTGTATATATATATAGTCTGCTATGTAGCAGAAGGGAGTTACAAAACTCAACTTCACTCTGTAACTTGTTATATTGTGACAATAAACCTACCTACCTACTACTGGGGCAGGAAGCAACCCGCCACAGAGCAGTTCTGAGGAATGTGATAGAAAGCCTGCACAGACACATGCATCCTTCTGCTGTACATAAACAAAACATGACCCAAACATGTGCAGAAATACATGTACACACACATATATTCACAAATACACACCTGCCATTCAACACCACACACTTATGAAAATGCCAAAACTCATACATACAACCTGGACTGCCATGTGCAGCATTTATCCTTAGCACTACACACACAAATATTCACACTTGACTTCTGGTGAAATCTTGATTCAGTTCTTGGTAATTTCTCAGTTAGAAAATTAAATTGTAAAAGTAAAAACGTCAGAGAATGAGGGCATGAGATAACATCATTTACTTTTTAGGCTGCGTTCAGACAGAGCTCAGTGGGTGGAGAGAAGGCATGTTGCTTCAGGTGGTTAGAACAGAATTGGCCGTGGCCAAGATCTGGTAACACTGAGTCCCCCTCATTGTAGTTCCCAACATAAATGTCTAAGTGATGTTTCTAAGCCTTCTTCACACTGTCAGACCTAAAAATCCAGAGGAGAAATGCTGAAGTTGTTCCTCTCTTGCAACAGACTTGTGGGCAATTTTGCCCTCAAGTCTGTTGCAAGAGAGGAACAACTTGTATTTTTATTGAAACTCTCCCATGAACACGATCATTAGGAGCCAAACTGAATGCAACACAGCAAACAGAGACACACATACATATACATACACTTCTGCAGAACTGTGGAGTAAATTCTTGTGTAACTTCTCTGGAAGCATAAACACAGCTGTGCCAATTTGTTTCATCACTGTACTTAGTTGTTCAATAGTTTATTGTTAAAAGCAGTTCCATTTAAGAGTTATGGGCAGTGTGAGTTTTTGCGCAGCATGGAAAACTTTGTAATGGGCCAGTAGACTTCTCGCTAAATTCTTAAAATTGCTTCTGATTTGTTTGTTTTTCCAGCACTAATTTTATTGTCTGGTGTGGCCCAGAGAGTATCACCATGTAGAACTGAAAGG